GTCGCCTAAGAAAAAGGAAAGCTTCCGCGAGGCCTGTTATGTAATCTTGTGATCAAACCAAAAAGTGCTGATGTCTGCGTGTTTTTCTTCTACCTTCCAAATGTGACGGCTGTCAGCGCTCGTAGCGCGTCCGCTCCTGTTTTCTCAGGATAAGCTCGGAAACGGAAAGAGATTCCTCTCAGGTAGCGGAGATTCGGAGCAGCTTTAGCAGATAAACTGTGAAATGAGAGAGAGCGCAGAATATCACGCTGTCTGGATTATCCCGCCGTGAAGGGTGCATTCCTCCAGAGTCTCACGACTGAGACCTGTGGCCCTTCACCAGCCAAACATTCCTTTCTGCAAACCTCCAAAAGCAATCAATAGCAATTATCGTTACGTCCGGCATCCTCAAAGGCTTGTCAGGTCGCGGTGTGAAAACATAAAGAGACGTGCAATTTGGCCATCAACCCGTATGATCGAGCCAAGGGAGATGTAATTGACAAATCAAAGGAAGGCTGCAATGCTGTGTTTAAACTTATGCAGGAGAGAGAAGTGGCTTCCGAGCCTATCGACTCACATCCCCCCCACATTAAACACGGCGATCTGGCCGACTAATTGAAACTGATACATCAAAGGCTTGCCATGCTGGGAATATTCCAGACGAATTTCAAAGTCTTCCCATTTATCAGTTGAGGGAACCGACTGCAACATACTAACTGCAATTTATTTTTTTTTCATCTGAAAATAATTAAACAACTTTCATATTTAATTGTGAAGGTGTTTAGTTCTGAGCTGATGCAAAACTACAAAAGAAACATTTCAGATGCTGGGTAAAGAAGATGCGGGGCGGGAGTGTCGCTGCAGGAAGCAGTTATGGGGTCTGCAGAGCGTGACATCACCAGTGACCCCCTTCCCTCCAGCAGAAGCCAAGAGCTCGTCCAAAACTGATAAAAACTCGAGCTTTTTGTGCTTATTTCCTCCAAACTGAAAACACAAGATTAAACATTCACACTGTTGCTGTGTGCTCTGGCTCAAGTCATCGGTATTCCATCAAGCCCAGCTGGGTGGAGCTCTTCGTAATGACCGTTTACTTGACTGTAATCCACAAGTGGATTTAAATCCCCAGAGATTACAACAGGGCTAGAGTTAACACGCACGCCGGGGGCCAAATATCACCCAGACGGCAGGGATATTTTTATTTTCTGGCTAGGAAATAACCAAATAAATAAACTGCCTCGCTGAGAGCGGCAGACTGGTTGCTCATTTAGCAAAATCAAGTCTTGTGGTTTAAGCCTGAAGGTTGTGGTCCACCTCTGCTGACTTTAAAGGTGCCCTAGAATAAATATTTACCTTGTTGTTGTTAAATATAGGCAGCTTGGTGTTGGGGACGCACGTTTTCCAAAAGTTCTTTAACCGGTTATTGACGCCCCTTAACAATTAATAGCCGGTTAACTGGAAACCAGCCAACCCCTCACACAAACATTTATAAATAATAATTATTTTTCTGTCTACTCTCTTTTATATAATTCTGATGCAAAACTAAAGTCCCACACTCGTTACAATCATGAACAAAAAGTAAAGAGAGAGTGGGAAGCCAGCTGAAATGTCCGTCAGAGTCGGAACTTGTTGCACAGCAAACCGCGTGGCATCAGTGACACAGCGCCGCTTGCGATTGTGTGCTTATAAGCACATTCTGGAGGCCAGTTTTTAAAAACCACTTTCCTTAAATTGAACTAAATAATTACACTGAGTCAGGCGCAAGCAGGAGCGTCATGGCCGACTGACCTTTTGCTGGTCTCGGTTCAGTTTGCTGCACCACGTTCTGCCAGGATCTGCGCTTTGATGTGAGGCTTATTGTGTTCCAAGAATGATATATGAATAAACTGCTCCCACACAGCGCTTTTTGCTAACCGCTTCATGTTTGAGCATATTTGTTTGGTCATGTGACAAGCTCATTTTCTACAGCTGAATGAAGATAAGACTGAGATCCTCATCTGTGCCCCAGACAAGCTGGTTCCCAAAGTCAGAGACTCTCTTGGTCAGCTTGCTTTTCACACTAAACCTTCCATCAGGAATCTTGGCATGACCTTTGACCCAGCTCTCACTCTGAATTTTCATGTCAGTTCTCTTGTTCACTCTTCCTTCTTCCATCTCAGGAACATTGCTAAGCTGAGTCCCATTCTGTCCCGCTCTGAACTTGAGACAGTTCTCCACACCTTCATCTCCTCACGCTTAGACTACTGTAACTCTCTTTTCACGTGTCTGAGCAGAACCTCCCTGAACCGTCTACAGGTGGTTCAGAATGCCTGTGCTCGGCTTCTGACCAAGTCCTCCAAACACACCCACATCACCCCGCTTCTCCTCCAGCTTCACTGGCTGCCAGTCAGCCTCAGGGTTCATTTCAAGATCCTGGTTCTGGTCTATAGGGCCTTACATGGACAAGCACCATCTTACATTGGTGATCTTCTTAGTCCCTACACCCCCAGCAGGTCCCTGAGGTCCAGTGATCAAAGCCTACTGGTTGTGCAGCGCACCAGGCTAAAGACCAAAGGTGACAGATCATTTGCTGCTGTGGCCCCCAGACTCTGGAACTCTCTCCCCCTGAGCCTGAGATCAGTGGACTCAGTGGCCTCCTTTAGAAAGCAGCTGAAAACTCACTTGTTCAAGCTGGTTTTGGTGTGACCTTCATCACCCTCTCCTTGTTCTGCTCTCCCACCTATTCCACCTTCCTCCGGATCCACCGATTCCCCTCTTTCCTATTCACTCTCTCTCTCTCTTTACATTTTTAATCACAATTGTCTATTTTTGCTCATTTAAAATATGCAATTAGCAAAGGATGTTTAAAACTCATGAAGAAGGTTATGAATTGAGATGTGTTAAAAACTTCATTTTTCCATTATACCGAACAATTATGAAAAGTATGTGTGTATCTGTGTGTGGTATCAAACTGTGGAACAAACTTGATGTGACTTTAAAATTATGTAAAAACATTAGATCATTTAAAATGTTGTATAAACAACTTATAATTGACTCATACATAAATAGTAAGTGATAAAAATGGTAATTGGTAGCAAATGGAATATTTTATTTTTGTTGTTTATTGGTTTTGTTTTCCTTTTTCTGTAGATTCATGTGAACAATTGTTTTGTAACTGTATTTTTATGTAGAAAGGTGAAGATAGAATGACCTGCATAAAGAAAACATTTTTTTTTTCTTTCAAATTTGCTAATGAGAGCAAATGTGACTTATTAACTGAATTGAGGCTGGACTAGATAAGCTTTTGCTTCTTCCAGTTCCCTCTCAAACGGTTTTATGTTATTGTATGTTTTGTATTGTTTTATTCAACAGCGTGTGTTAATCGTATTCCACATTTTTAAATTTTTTATGCACCAGGAATATGGAGGAGTGCATATGCAATTTGTTGTTTTTCAATGGTTTGAGATAAATAAATTAATAAAAATACAAATAAGTCATTTTCTAAATTCTTTTTTATATTTTACATTTTTTGTTTTTGTGAAGCGCCTCGTGATTTTTATCTTGAGAGGTGCTGTAGAAAAGATTTTTTCTTCTTCTTCTCATTTCTTCTTCTGTGGTTGCCCAATAAATATATTTTGATAGCGGTGCGCTTGTGCCCTCTAACGGCACATATATTACACCGCAGCGCAGCAGAAGGATTTGAAGCAGTTAACTGGGCAAAACTATTTTACTCAGTTACAACATTAATGTTGTGTGCCTTATCTCTGCTCTGAATTACCTTTAATTCCTGAAACAGGAGCGTGAGAGCTTTTTTCCCACAGACTGACTCACAATGCATTTTTTTTACACTAGCGACCACTGCACTATGAGTAAACCTGATCTTTAATGTGCTAGACTGAAATAACAGTTTGCTATCATAAAAATAAGTTGTTCTAGGACCCTTTTAACATGTTTCTGCCTCTTTTCCTAAAGATTTATGCTAACTTTACAGACCATTTATGTTAGTTGAATACCCACATGACATGACCTCTGTCCCCAGACTCACCCAGGGACTGATCCCAAGTCAGTTCCTTGAAATCATGCTCTACTGGGACTTTCTCTTGATCAAGCACGATACAGCCCCGGCACATCAGGATTTATGCATGATTCTATTTTATTTTGCTTTCCTGCCTCCATCGCTGGACCCCCATTCTGCTAAAATGCACAACAGGAAGACATTACGTCATACTCAACAATCATATGCTGCAAGTATAAAATTAGACATATTGGAACTGCCCTGGTATGCATGAAGGCAAATGCCCACACTAAGTCATAACCGGCAATGTAACGCAGAAAATGACCAAGATCAGCAAAAGGGTGTTGTATGATGCTCTGGCCAAGCATGAAAGATAAACACACAGACAAAAAAGGAATGGGTAAAATACTCCTCACAGGATGGGGTCAGCAGCGGGATAAACGGCAGGGCGGTCGATGGCGAAGCAGAGAACACAACTGAACGAGGAGTAAGAGGGAGGAGCAGAGGGAGTGATCCTGTTCCTCTTAGACCCAGGAGGCGTGAAGGGGAAAGATTAGAAATCGTGCCATGTCAGGATTGGGAGCACGCTGGCCAGCGGGGGGCAGGAGAACAGGGACATCAGGGAGGGGGTTGCGGGGCACGATAATTGTGATATACATACACATACACGCCCGCTCACAATGGGTGGCTGATGGGTAAATAGGCAGGGAAGGATGGTGGGAGGGAGGAGGGTGGCTGGGTTCTGCTCCTGAATGCTGAACAGAGGATCAGGGACACCACTGGCTGTCAGTCAGATCCTACAAATACAACTCTCTCCTACACTCACAATCAAAGGGAATGTTTAAAAAAAACTTCTATTCCTTTAGTCAGTTCCTTTTATGTATTTAGTAACTCACGTGTTTTGTTTCGACGATAAAAGAGGAGACAGTTTTAATTGTGCTCTTAAAATCACCAAAATCAAAGCCTTTTAAAGATGGGAAATAAAAAAAAACAATCATAAATCAAAGACAGGAAGCCCTTGATTTCATACCTGCAGACAGTTATGCAGAGGCACCCACAAGCTGCAGCCCCCAGCAGGCTGCTCATCAGGTTCACACTGTGGGCTGGTGAGAAAGAGGGCAACAAACACATGGAGAAACGAGCTAGGAGGGTGAAGAGTGGATATCCTGGAGGATGAGCCACCTAAAAACCCAAGAAAGATACAGACAGCACCAGAAAGTCAGCACAGGACATATTTATGCACACCTTCAGAGTTCTCCTTGGGAGGCCCATTGGGGGCTACTTTGGAAGTATGGGGTACCAGGTCCTCTGATACGGGCTGTTAGGTCCCTGTATGACCGGTGTCAGAGCTCGGTCCACACTGCCGGCAGTAAGTCAGGCTCGTTTTTGGTGAGAGTTGGACTCCGCCAAGGCTGCCCGTTGTCTCCGATTCTGTTCATAACTTTTATGGACAGGATTTCTAGGTGCAGCCAAAGTCTTAAGAGGATCTGCTTTGGTGGCCTGAGGATCGGGTCTCTGCTTTTTGCAAATGATGCGGTCCTGTTGGCTTCATCAGCGCGTGATTTCCGGCTCTCGCTGGAGCGGTCCGCAACCGAGTGTGAATCAGCTGGGATGAGAATCAGCTCCTCTAAATCTGAAACCATGGTCTTGTGTCGGAAAAGAGTAGAATGCCTTCTCCAGGTGAGGGACGAGGTCCTGCCTCAAGTGGAGGAGTTTAAGTATCTCGGTGTCTTGTTCACGAGTGAGGGAAAGATGGAGAGCCAGATCAATACGCTGACTGGTGCTGCGTCTGCAGTGATGCGGGCGTTGTACCGATCTGTCGTGGTGAAAAGAGAGCTGAGCCGGAAGGCAGAGCTCTCAATTTACCGGTCGATCTATCTTCCTACCCTCACCTATGGTCACGAGCTTTGGGTAGTGACCGAAAGAACGAGATTGCGGGTACAAGCGACCAAAAGGAGTTTTCTCCACAGGGTGGCTGGGCTCTCCCTTGGAGGTAGGGTGAGAAGCTTGGTCATTCGGCAGGGATTCAGCGTAGACACGCTGCTCCTCCACATCGAGAGGAACCAGTTAAAGTGGCTCGGGCATCTAGTTCAGATGCCTCCTGGATGCCTCCCTGGTGAGGTTTCCCGGGCACGTCCAACCAGGAGAAGACCTAAAGGAATACCCAGGACACGCTGGAGGGACTATGTTTCTTGGCTGGCCAGGGAACGCCTTAGGATTCCCCCGGAGGAGCTGGCCAGAGTGGCTGGGGAGAGGGAAGTCTGGACCTCCCTAGGCTGCTGCAATTGTGACCCGACCCCAGATAACCGTCCGAAAATGGATGGATGGACCTTCATAACTATAATAACTCAGCTACCATTGGTATGTGCTTGTTGTAAAGGTGGAAGTGGTGACATAATAATACTATGAATACAACAGAAACTGAGAATCAACCACATCAGGATTTATATCTCTGCAAGCTGCTTTTGCTTTGATACTAACCCTCCCCCCACCCCCCTCGATTTTTTTTCTCCCTCTCCTCACTTTTCTTCTTCTGGCCTCTTCCCAAGGACAATGAAGCTCCCAGGAGCCCGAGGCGGAGCACGTGGTGCCAGCCAAACCACCTCAGAGCCACAGCCGCTCTCGCCTGGGGGATCTTAGCAATCACTGCAATTAGCCGTTTCTCATCTCCTCCACCCAGATAAGGGCTCAGTCATTAAACACAGGCTCATTCGCCGGCACTGATAACATGAGCTGTGCAGGCAGGAAGAAGGGCGCAACTCTTCAAAACGAGCGTTGAGCAGAAAGGTGACAGAGCGAGTGGCTCGGCAGTCACCTTAAAAACAACAAAGCCTCTACAGATAAATACAAAATTATTATAAAAGTTGATGTTGGAACTTAAATGAGAAAATCAATTAAAAAAAATTAATATTGGATGAACTTGTTGACAGGTGACTTGTCTGTAGGCACTACACAGCAGCTGAAGGACGGCTGAGAGGATGAAGGCCACGTGGAGCAAAGAGAGGCGGAACACCGGAGCTCTGGGGATCAAACAGGGAGGGGGGGGGACAGCAGCCAGGGGCAAAGGGATGGCCTCCGAGGCCCTGGGGAGGCCTAAGAGGCAGACAGGCAGGCCACACGGACTGCAGCACTAACCGCAGGATTACTGGCACAGTGACACCGACACAGCCTCCCTAAAAGGATCACAGCGGCGTAATAAACTTTATTAAATAATAAAACTTATTATAACTGTTAACCCGATTTAGTTCATTCTTTGCGGCTTACACACACACACACAAAAAAGAGGGGTGGATATAATAAGCCTTATACCGTACATAAGGCAAAGCCTACAAAAGCCATCGCCTTACCATTGACTTTAATTGGATTTGAAAAACGGGTTGCAAATTATAGCATTCTCTACTTGCAACTTAGTAAAATAAGTGTATAGAAAAGAACCTGTGGACTGAAAGTAAATTAATCTGCTTTCTGCCCATGCTTAATTAAACTTCCTTAATGCTTATAAGAGTTAATGAGTGAATTGATTAAACAATACAGCTAATACTTACCCCCAGCTCACAGGCAGTGGTGATCAGTTCTCCTGTGGAAGGGAATAGGGGAGGAAATTAATGTAAACCCAATAATTATTATTAAGAGACAAGTCTGCTCCCAAAGTTTTCCCAAATCAAATACTTGCACTGGGGTTTTGCATTAATTTGCCAGGATCAAAACCTGCAAATCTTCCCAGTGTGACATTTCCTAAGCGGCACGCTCATTCTCTTCATCTTCTGCTTCTCCCATGATGCCTGCTTCCCTTCTTCAGCACACACACACAGATATAAACACACATGCACACACACACACACACACACACACACACACACACCACAAGACTGCCTCTGCCTGTCACACAAAGACACACATATGCTGATCTGAGAATAATGCTTCCACTCCCATCCTCCCCATGCATCAGGGGCCTTTCCTTTCCCCTTTCTTCTGCTGTTCTACGTGCCTCTCTGCAGCTCCCACACTCCCAGTGTCTTAGTGTCTCCTTTAGTCCGTTGGGCACAAACAGAAAGGGCTACGTTGGTGACAGTCACAGAATGAGGTAAGCTGTAAAAATGAGAGCCGGCTGCACAATTTTCTGACAAGCTCTGTGTGAGGCGCAGCACAAAGTGAAAAGAAAACCCCTAAAAGCTATTTGAGGGAGCTTTAATGTATCTGGGCACAAACCCATTTGTGCCAGAATACACCCAAAGCGTTTCAAATTATACTGATTTCTCACCCAATGTTTGCATCTCCCACTCATGGAAATTGAAATTTGGTTCAGATTAAATGACATTGATAACTGCTGGGGATCCGGACAGCTCCCTCTACTGGAGCTAAAGGAGTAGTTCTGTCCTTTTCAAGATCATCCAGTGAATATTTTTTCCTGTATCAGCACCAACAAGGACAAGAGATCATTACTTTGTAGCACATGTCGGGAAAATGAACTTTTTTTTTGTCAAAATCAGACTAATTGTGAATCTCTGTGGTTCACAATAATAATATACATAGCTGGCTATTTTAAAACCCAAGTAGCAACAAAAATAAACATTTGAACAGCAAAAACATGGTCCACAGCATGAATGGCTGAATTTCAGATGGCACTGGCTGCCTCACATATTTTGCAACCTTGTTGATACAGTGAATTACGATGCCTAAAATTCTGTCACACGAGGAGCCCAAACTCTTATCAGTCTAATGTACCATGAAGTCAGAACTCCTCCACCTGCACAGCTAAAATGTTTTCACAGCTTCCATTTCACCTGGCATGAGCCGCCAGCGAAATGCCATCATTCTACATCACACTTTCCCATCCTTCATCAATTTCTCTATTTCACTCTTTTTTTTTCTCAGTAGTGGCACACTTTAACCCCATTCAGCACAAAAAACTAGCACTAAGCCAAAACATTCATCTCCGTGCCACAGAGATGCAGTTCTGCAGCCCCAATACTAAAAAGGGAAAATATTGACTCTACTGGGAAGCAGCATGGATGCCAAGAGTCTTTGTGGTTGTGGAGCATGGGCACCCACATCAGTCTTCCCATAATCCCCATCATTTCCACACTTCACATTCCTAGACAACAGCGTACCCGCGAGGCTGCGCTCAAGCCTCTCCAGGGCACATCACACCTAAAGAGATTAGGACACAGAGACGGAGACCTGGAGAATTCAGAAGGGTGTTCAGCTGGCACTATCAGAGCGGGCATCCTGCACCGTCCCTAAACACTGTGGAGAGAGGGCTGGACGTTTTTTCAAAGACCCTGCTAGACAGCGGCACAACCAGCAGGGCTACTCAGCACTGCAATAGCCTGCTCACTCCTCAGCTCATTTTTATCTGGCTGAGCCTTTTTTATGCTTTCTTTCTGCATAATGCATTCACTTTTTTTCAGTTTCTATGTCTGAGAGGTGCAAACATAACAAGCAAGTGCTCATTTACAAGCCTGTAACCTTGCCATCACCTCTAAACAAAGTGTGGTGTGCAAGGCATCCCCTCTTAGCTGCATTTTTGAGAGTGCTAGACAACACACTGGCCTAGAAGTTTCAAAAGTCCTGAGTGAAACGTACTGCAGAGCCTAATTTGGAAGAAGTCAAAATTAATTTCATGCCTAACTATGTAATAATGAGTTTTCAAAAAGCCAACAGAGCAGTGTTAAGTGGATGTAAACAATGATTCTACATTTAAAACGGCAGCTAAATAAATATTATGCATTCATTTTACTATACTTCTATTTCAGCCTAACAAGTCAAATATTCAGTTATGAAACTAATCTTAAATTTAAATCTTTTCAAGTATCCATTTGTCAGAGGAAGGTTGGAATATAAGCTTGTTTCCCAAAAAAAACTAAAGGCATTATTTTCAACTATTCTGAATATTTACATGGGCAGATATAAGCATTTGACACTGCAAATGGTACAAATTATTTATTGTGAAAACGCATATGTAGGTTTAACTGTACTTCTTATACATTAAAGTTCCAAAAATTAGAGAAAAAGCTCTAGAAGGAGAACATTTTTAGAAAACAATACATATTAATGATAGATTTCTATACAACAGAAATTTTGATTTCTAGAAATCATGTTTCTCCCATTTATTTAAAAACTTAATATTCCTACATCTTCAGCACCATGGACAGCATCAGCCCTGCCGAGAGCTTACGCACACACGATTGGCTGTCCTAGAGCACAAAAACGTCACGTGATCATATAACTAGCAGTTAGCCTTGCAGCACCAACCTGAGTCTCCACCGGGAACAGTTTTCTGCACACAGGGCACATACAGAGCTGTAACACAGGCGACTACAGCACCGGTTAGTATCCAGCTCCCCCTCTGCTCCGCAGACATCCTTATTTCCTGAAACAAAAAATGTAGTTGACCGCGAAGCGCCTTATAGCAAGCGAGCTAATGTTAGCATACATGCACATCCGTCACTGAGCATGCTAAAGCAGAGCCGCGAGTCATTGTACTTAAATATCAGCGAGACACAGTTGAAGTAAAGTTAGCAATTCACTGAGTAAGAACTTTGAGGTTTTTTTTTTGTTAAGTTGAAGAGTTCGCTAATTTGAGACGTGTTTGTTTCCCTAAGTAGCAATCGGAAACACGTTAAGAAGCTAATCTCGCGATATTACCGAACAAAAAGTATATTCCTTTTATATGTCGATGGTCTATTCCCACTTACCAACGTGGGTTAGTTGGTTGTTTTGATTTACTCTGAAGTTGAGAATGATTTTATTGTCATTTAACACGTTTAGAACAATTATTTCTGTATCAAACGTAGCATTCATAAACATCAAATGTTTCTGTTAGTTTCCGTCTAATTTGGAGAATCTAACTCTTGATTGCATTTGTAATAATTAATTATTGCTGTTAGTTTTGGGTGTTACATAAATCTAGAGAGAAATATCTATTTTTTCTCATCATCTACTTAAAAGGCATGGTTTTCTTCGCATGCACTTAAGAGTTGAACTTTTTAAATGTTATTTTCAAAAAAATAAAATTAAATTCTCAGTCTTTCAACAGATAAGGCAACTGAACTATGAATATTCTCATTTAAAAATCCAGACACAAATAGACATTTTCATGTTATTATGTAGTGATTGCCGTTCTCATGAATCTACCTTAAATATAAAAATATGTCTACTTCTCATTAAAACAGCTGACCGACTCATTAATTTGAAAGAAAAATGTGAGTTTATACCTGAAAGGAGATACATGAACTCATGAATGTCTCACAAGTGTCCAAATTTCACAGGTCAAGGGGTTACGGTACTAAAGAAATTGCCCTATTGAACTGATAATAATCCCAGCCCGTCACAAATGAGTCTGATCCCTCGGTATACTGAGCCCTTGGCGAGGTGGAGTGGTGTCAGCACCTAACCAACTCTCCGATGGCTCTCTAATCCTTCTCTTCCTCTCACCACCACCCTCGCTGTCTAATCAGTCCTGAACACACACATAACACTCACACCCGTTTGACACGCAGAAACAGGAGCACTCACCCTTCCTCACACTGAGGCTCAGCCGTCTCTTCGGTGTGATGTCACTGCTAATCCAAGCTTGGTTATCCGCCGGGCTGCAGCGCTGGTAGAGGGACGTGGGGAGGAGATGGGAGTGAATTTTAGGGGGGAAGGTGCATGCTGTGGAGAGAGGGGGGAGGTAATCAAGCACGTCATGAACTCTCCTCTCCTAAACCACCATTTTCATTTCCACCACACTGCATACACAACTGTACAGCATGTGTATAGAGCGTTAATATAAAGTGGAGCTCTGATAGGGAAGATAAAACAGCTGTAGGCACTTCCACGGGGCCTGTAGCTCCTATTCAAGGCACATAGCAGTCATTAGAGCCTGCTGGATTAACACACACCACCATCCACAAAATGCAGGGCCTTTTATTGACAGCCTGTCCAAAGAGAGGAATTACTCAAATGATTGAAACACTCATTCCATATGGCACCGCACTATTAACAAACATTAGTTGACTGTAATGGCGGTGGTATTAAATCCATTATCTTTTCAGATTGTGTGCGTGTGTTTGTGTGTGTGATTAGAGATTTCTAATGCTCCAGCTCTGGGGATTTGTTGCAAAAGATAAGAAAGGGCCATTAATGTCAAATTGCGATGGTCCAATGGAGCAAAACTGTTATGGGAGATGTTTATGTGTCTCCTTTGTTGAGATTGCCCAAACTAACGACTGACACACTGTCTGGTGTTTCTGTTGCTGCGGTTTTATTTATTTTCTAACTCAGTGCCTTGCAAACAGAAACAGCAGAGCGATGCATATGCAAGTGGCTTACAAGACGGAGCAAAAATTCTCACGTATTTGATTTTGCGTTTTTCTTCGCTTACCACATATCTGTTTTAATCTTACCTTAAGCATCCTTGAAATGAGGTGTAATCCAGTTAAGCCCTTTTGAATCAGCTTCGGAGCCACATTACACCCATTCTTTGCCCCCATAAACTCTCTCTGATAAACAGTTGCACACGGGCAAAGTCCATAAGCCAAAATGTACATAATGCACAGACTGACAGATTAAAACTCTGTCTGTGCCTGCAAAAGAGCATCCACATTGAGCTGACTTTCCATTACAAACAGTTGCAATTTATCATAAGGATGTCAAATATTAGAACATTTGCATCATGCAGATGAAGGAAAACAAACGTTTAGTTCCTGTTTTTGTGTTCAACAACATGGATGACAAGAATTTCAGCTCATAATAAAGACAGTCTCAAACCCTCCTCCAAAAAGCAAACTGGCTTTAATCTAAAATGTGCTTTTTATAATTGCGGTTATATAAAACATGTTAATTTATTCATTATCCAACATACTAAATAACTAGAAAATTATTTTATTCAGATGTTAGAAATAACAGATAGCAACGTTTAAATGTTGTCATTTATAACAAAAACGAGTTTCATATTTATAACCCTGTTAATTTAGTGTTTAAAAAATTTCAAATGAGAGGCCAGAAAAATAAAATGCAACCATTTTCTCCGATAATTTGACTGAAATCTCTAACTTCAGTTTCATTTCTTTAATTGATGCTTTCAGGTAAAACTTTCAAAAATCTTCAATTTGGAGTTTCCTCAACTTTTTCTTGTGTGCACAACGTTAGACTCGGTTAGATGAAAAACACAGAATGAACATACAAAAGATCCATTTCTGCATATTTAGCAGGTTTTATTATCTTTGAACTAGGAGTAGAGCGATAAATTGGGCCGATATTTACCATTTTTATACATATTTGTTCTTAGTGAAGCTGATTTAAAGTCAGGCACATCCTCGGGCAGTCTGGTGCAGAATTCAATTAAATGTATTGTTATGTTCACTATTAACATCTGCACAATAAATATTCTAAATTAGCTTTATTTAGATGTTTGACTTTAACACTGAGCGGTGCACGACGTTAAGATCTAACCATATCCGCCGGTTACATTCACAGTTCAGCTTCAGAGATTTAGTGCATCAACCGATGTTATCAGTGACATTTTAGCTTGAAAACAAGGTGGAAATGGGCCCATGAAAATCGGCAGCACACATCGGCCATCAACTGACCATCTTCATATCGGCATCGGTAATAGAAAAGCCGATATCGGTCAGCCTCTACTTTGAACAATTTTCGCAATTGTGTTCTTTTCAAAGTGTGAAATAAACAAACCATCCTGTTATTATTTCTGCAAATAGTACATGCAGCGAGGCGTTGAATCGGTGAGAAAGTCTTCAGAAAGATTAATTCTCCTCTGTGATCCTGTTCTCATTACAAGAGGCGGGGGATTCAAACACACGTAATAACAGGGCCGACTGCTGTTCCTTTGTAACATGTGGCTACCTAAATGATCCTAAATAAGATAGATGACAAGGACACGGCAAATCATAATCTGTATTTTGCACAATGGAACATAATAGTCTGTAGAGAACAAGGGACGACACACAGAGCTCACGTTTCCATGGCCTGGAGCAGCACGCCTAGTCGAGAGCAATTAAAATGAGAGGATTCAATTTTGTCAAACACCAGGAACCTCAGATAAATTGTGTATCTCATTTTCCAGCGCAGGACACTCCCTCACATCGGTGCTATCGTGTTTGTTACGGTGTTTTTAAAACACAGCTGGTTGCTGAAACCCACCCCTCCTCCCTCTTTTCCCCAAAATCGTGCTAATTCCAATCATTCCAGTGTGCAGCCCGGTGAAGGGAGAGAGCAGGGCTGTACGTCGCTGCACGGCTTCCGTGTGGGAGCAATCCTCTCTTGAAGTGATAAAGATTTAATTAACACAAGACTCTGCAATTACTCCATAATTAAAGTCATTTGGCCTCTCGTTTGGATGAGTAGGCTAGACGCTGCATGTTTCTGTGAGAGCAGAGGAGTGCCCACTTTAATGTCACCTCACCCATGTGTCCTAATGAATGAATGATCTCTTCTTTAGCTTGTTTATTTGCACTTTTATTGTGATTAGTGAGAAAAGCAATACACTAACAGTTAAAAGTATAATTTTAACATGAAATGGTAAGTGGGCCTGAAATAATTCAAATTCTCTCCAAATTACGTTGTTCAACACTAAAAGTGTGAGATCTTTTAGTTGATTAACCCAATTTGAACCAAAACACCAATGTAACACGGACGGTGACTATACAAGCAAATGTGGGGTCAACGGGTCAAATATTTCCCCCTGATGTAGCAAAGTTAGATGAAGCAACTTTCCGAAAAAAGAACCTTTATGAGACCGAAATTGGAGAGTTGCATGTTGGCTTTTTTACAGCTTTACATGTTTCTGTGTCCTACTGATGGATGCACATCCTGCTGCCACTTGTTGCATTTCTAAGTGGGTTTGCTAAGAGATGAAGTACTTGAGGAAGGTTTACAAAAGGGCATAAAAATGAATCTTACAGGTTTTTCAGCATTGTGATCTTTGTTTCCTGTAAACCACCACAATCATTCTGAATGTTAAGAGATCTTCTTCTTAACCACTTGTCCTCTGTAGGGTTACGGGTAACTGGAGCCATCAGTCATTGGGCAATCACAGGTCTCCAGTCCATCACAGGGACATTAAACACTCCTAGGGACAAGTAAGATTCACCGATTAAGCTAACGCATGTCTTTGGTCTGTGGGAAGAAATCAGAATAATCAGGAAAACCCACGCATGCATGTAATGACATCAGACCGTTTGACTGAGCACAGGGGTCCATCAGGGATGTCGTCTCAGTCCCTTGTTCTCATGGTCAGCTTGCTTCTCACACCAAACCTTCTGTCAAGAATCGTGGCGTGACCTTTGACCCAGCTCTCACCCTGGATTCTTAATGTCACTTCTCTTGTTCGCTCTTCCTTCTTCCATCTCAGGAACGTTGATAAGCTGAGTCCCATTCTGTCCCGCTCTGAACTTGAGACAGTTCTCCACACCTTCATCTCCTCACGCTTAGACTACTGTAACTCTCTTTTCACGTGTCTGAGCAGAACCTCCCTGAACCGTCTACAGGTGGTTCAGAATGCCTGTGCGCGGCTTCTGACCAAGTCCTCCAAACACACCCACATCACCCCGCTTCTCCTCCAGCTTCACTGGCTGCCAGTCAACTTCAGGGTTCATTTCTAGATCCTGGTTCTGGTCTATAGGGCCTTACATGGACAAGCACTAGGGCTGCACAATATTGGGAAAACCTGCGATATGCGATAACAGTGATTAATATTGCGAGGACGATATTACTTGCGATAAATAAAAACTTAACGCAGGAACAAAAATAATCAAAAATTTAAAAAATGACAAATCATAAAAATGAGAAAAGCAAAAGATATGAGCAAAGAGAAAAAGAAAGTAAACAAGAAAAGGCAATCAGTGGATCTCGGGAAAAGCAGAATCAGCAGGAAGAGCAGAACAAAGCTAACTCAGGTGTTTGCTAACCATCAAAATTAAGTGCCGTCCGCCTCGGGGGAGCGCATTTGACCTATGAGAACCCACCCAGTTGGCCAAATGGGTGAAGAGCTCCATTTGATTTGTTTAAAAAAATCATCATGCTTTTGTTTGACAGAATGTGTTGTGTAGCAAACATTTGCGCTGACCATTCATTGCGACATTTATCTGTTCTTTGCGATATGCATATTGTGCATGCTGGTATCGCAATAACAATATATTTACGATATATTATGCAGCCCTAACAAGCACCATCATATATCTGTGATCTTCTTAGTCCCTACACCCCCAGCAGGTCCCCGAGGTCCAGTGACCTAAGCCTACTGGTTGTGCAGCGCACCAGGCTAAAGACCAAAGGTGACAGATCATTTGCTGCTGTGGCCCCCAGACTCTGGAACTCTCTCCCCCTGAGCCTGAGATCACCCTCTCCTTATTCCGCCTTTCCCGGGATCCACTGATTTCCTCTTTTTTATTTTCTCTCTCACTTTCCTTACATTTTTTAATCACAATTATTTCTTTTTCATCATTTTTTAATTTGTACATTTTTGTTCTTGTGAAGCGACTCATGGTTTTGTCCTGAGGCGCTATATGAGCTCTCGTTCTTTCCTCTGCTAACAAATTCAGTAAAAATCACCTCCCTGTGTTTGTTTATGATGACTGGTCTCTTTCAATGTCAAACTGAGGATCTAAACATACGACTACAACACAACTGCATGCCGACTCTATTCCAAAAGGGCCACAGCCAGGATTCGAACCTGCAACCTCACTGTGAGGTGCCAAGTAGACTTAACATCAAATTCTCCAGCGCTAAACAAACTGTCATTTTTCCCTGGATCTTGCTGTTGAGAAAAAGAACCATTCCACTTTATTTGCATAACCCTGGCCTGTTTAAAGCAGGGCAGTCGCCAAGTGATCCCACAATTAGCATGCTGTCACCTTCGCCGTCTCTTCTGTCATTCAGAAAAACAGGCAGCTGTGCAGACGTATGAACTCGTTTTCCATCTAGTGCAGAAATGTTAATCAGGAAGCAGCTTCAGTATGCCTCTGCTTAACGAACGTGTATTTAAATCGCTTTCATGCGCCCTTTTTTTAAAAAGATCAAGTCTCATGTGAACGACTGAAAACGTCACCTTCAGCACGTTTCTGTTTTGCATGCGTCTGAAAACATAAAAACAGCTAATACATGTATACATCAGGCGTTTCTCGGGCATCACGCCAGGAGTTAGATGGGAAATAAAAGCACAATATAATTAATTTTACAGCAAGATTCATAAGTAAATCTTTAAACTAATATCAGAGCATATCTGATTTAGTCTGTTTACACATAGAGGATTTTCAGTCGTCTACAGGCGTGCCAAGTTAGATAATTCTGTTTCTCTCATTTTAAATGTGTCTGAGCTACAAATTTATGCATAAATACAACTTTCATTCCTTTGCTTTAGCATTTGGATGGTGAGGCGTTTCTATTGTTGGGGAAACAGTGCCCTCCTGTGGCTGCTGAAGGAAAGTACAACACAGAAAAGAGCTGATAAAATGTGGTTAGTCTTGAAAATAAAGATAAAGCTGATAGAATTTAAAATGTGAATAAAGCAGACTTCCAGAGCATACTTGTGCTATGTTTAAAAAATAGAGCTATCAGAATTCAGAGCCACACTGCAGCTGAGAGAGTAGGTGAGTGTTCATGCAGAGGCATGATGAAACACATATGTAACCATGATTAAACATTACTGCTGCGTTGGTTGAGCGAACACAGCAGACTTCTGGAGTTCAAAGGAGAATTTTTTTTTCCTCCTCAGAAGAACACGGCTTCATAAATCAGAGCATCAAAATGCCCTCGGCACAAATATGAAGTACAAACCGAGTCGTGTTTTTAAAAAAGAAAACATTTATTCTCTGTAAAGGAGGCATCAGGAGCATCAGTGAGTTCTATGGCTTGTGTACAGAGATCCTGCAGAAATTCACAGAACAAGCCCTTGGGTGAGCCGTGAGCCCCACCCATGTTTACCAAGGAGGAATGTTTGAGGCGGCTACTCTGCAGCGGTTTCAGAACACGCTCTGAAGCAAAGGAGCACAGTGTGAGGGGAATGCTACTGTACAAGAGGCTGCGTGAGAGGCAGAAAGCCATGTAATTAGTCGTGGGGGGGGGGGGGGGGGGCACACTGCTGACATTTAAAATGATACAAATATGGAAAAAGTTAATGGGAAAATATAGTTTCTCAAGCTAAAGAGCCCTTAATCAAAGTGGATTTTGCCCCTGAACACCTGGACTCATTTTAATGCAACCTGCTCGTCATGATCACTCAGCTTCATGTTATTTTAATGCTCTCCGTCGTTTTTAATAAACGACTGAACACGTGGAAACAATCCTCCCACGAACGCAAAAGATCTGTTCCAGATTTCCAATCATCGGCTACTTTGTTTTAGGCAACTCGACTGATCTGAACACAAAAAGAATTTAGAGAACTTGGCATGCAGCCTGACGATATTGTTCTCATTGAGCTACGGAACGGCGTTTACTGTAATCCCAGGCTGTCAGCGCTCCATCACAGCAGACGTTCGGGTTCACGATTGTTTACAGAAACACTTTGGATTGGCCGCCGCGCCTTGCATGCGGGGAGAAAAGATCCCCTCCTCCTTATGTTTGGTATAATCTCTGGATGCTGCTGAGAACGCGCCCAGGTTTGACGGCGAACAAATGGTTGGATCGGACCCAGTTTGAGATAAAAAAGCGAACAACGGTGCAGAATGAGCTGGGTAGCGAGCAGGTGTTGCTGCAACCCCCACCCCCGGTGCTGTACTTTACCACAAGCAGGCAACACCTAAAACTACGAAAGCAGGTCATATAATTATAGCGGCCTTGCTTTAGAGTCGTGTTACCGTACATTCATTGTGAAACCTTGTTTTCATTCCTGTGCCGTCTCTGTCAGCGTCTCTGCGGGACAAAGATCGTAAAAAAATGAGGGTGAATGGACAGAGCAGTTAAACCACACACACACACACACACACACATGCACCCCAGCATTCTCACATTACACGTGAAGGAGAAAAATATATTAACATTTGCATTAAAAAACACTAAACGGGCCTCTGTGTAGTAAAATAACCACTTGTGTTAGAATCCTTCAACAAAATAAACCGTTTTCTCTCGCTGGTAGAAATCATCCCAGTTCGCTGGGATTTGAGGCACTGGATTTTCGTCTCTGTCCATAAAACGCCCGTTCTTTCTTCCTTGGAGTTTGATCAGTAAATGGAAGCCACTTTTTTTAGTTGCATGATCAGGATGCCTTTAACTGTTGTTGGCCAATAGGAGCCGATGGGGAAGCTCCCCCGTTCCCTCTGGCTTTTCTCCCGGCCGACAGTCCAGCTGTCTGGCTCTGAGAGAGCTCGTCAGACCCTTCAGGACCCAATCTCGTGTATCTGAATCGAGTTCCGCTCCTTCCTTCAGGAAGCCTATTCTAACAGTGATCTGATGAAAATCCGGAAGGATCTGTGGTTTAAATGTTTGATGCAGCTGGTTGGAAGGATAGCTGAAACCGTACACAGACCGGTGTGCTCCGGGTTGCTCCTCACCTTTGTTTTTCACAGTAACCATCCACACAGTCTGTAATAGTTGTGCAGTTTCACAGTAAGTGAACAGATTTATTTCATTCCAAGGCTGGCTAACACAAACAGAAGAAAGCACAAGGAAGTCTGAGCAGAACCCGCTTCAGTCCACCGGGCCTTGGAAGATGAGCTTCGACCAGCCCTGTGTGAGGGTGAGCTGTGTGGCGCAGAACGGGCAGGCGGCGTGGAAGGCGTGGGTGCCATGTGGAAGAGGGATTTCAGACCAGTACCTGACAGACTTCTCGGAGCACACGTGTCCACACGGCACGAAGGCGTGCGTGGGCGCTCCGGTGTCCACGTAGAAAGCTGGCTCGCTGCCCAGACACAGCAGGACATAGGGTCCCACCACCCGGCACATGGGACACTCTCGCTGGGTGTGGGGCCCCTGCTCGGAGCGGTGGCCCCAGTTGTGGTATCCGTGCACATGGCCACATGCCAAATAGACCCAAGGCTGCTTGTCCTCCAGAGACGTGAGGGCTCGAGTGCGGTTCATGCTGGGGAATGCCAGGGTGTTGAGACCTACGGGGCACTGGGGACGCGCTGCATTGATCTCCTGCCTCAGAGCCTCCAGGTGCTTCTGGGTGGGAGCGTGAAAGAGACCCTCAGCGGTGCGCCACAGCAGGGTGGCGCCACACAAATCCACCAGAGAGCCGTCCAGTAGGATGTTACTCTCGTTCTCCACCTGAGGAGGGTAACCAGCAGAAACGCATTTAGTTTCAGGGAATACTGCTGATGTCATGCAGGAGCTGCCATGTTGGAAGTAACAAACCAGTTTTCCGGGGGTCTGCGCCGAGCGGGTCTCTCTCAGCGTGTAGACATCTCCACACACGGAGATCTCCCTCCACACGCCGGGCTTGGACTCCTCTGTGAACCCGCCTTTGGGATGCATCACCAGCACGCCGTTAGTCGTTAGGCCGTCCATGTGGCCATCTGGGTTTTTCCATTTTGCAGCTTTTTCCTGCAGACAAAACAATGATTTGAGTGATTTAAAAAAAACGCTCTTGCAGATCCAAAAACTTCAAAATAACAAGATATGCAATTTCAATGAGATACTGCATGACCACAATGTTAGTCTAACTAGCAATTACCCCCAGGAAGATGTTCTTAGAGGAGTCGAATCCAGCTGCAAAGATGCGCGCCGTGTAGGGCGGGTTACGCTCACAGACGACTCGACAGGCAAAGCGGGAGATGGTGCTCTGTGTGATCGGGTTCTCCTCACCCTCCTGGCCTCCTGAGATCGTGTCGGTCACCACAAAGTCTATGGGACTCTCTGTGGAGCGCCCTATCTGCAACAACAAATACAACCAGCAACGATCATCAAAGCTGTGTGGAAATATGACGGAGCTAGCAGCAGTGTGACCGTTACCTGAAACATGTCCGTGTCATTATCATGGCTGTACTCCACCACCACAGTCTGGTGCCTGGACAGCGTGTAGGAGATGCTGTGTAGGCCTTTACTGCTCACCGCCTGAAATATGACAGCTGGTTACTAACATATCACACACGTAGTATCTGCCATGGGCCACAGGAACAGGAAGTAACATTTACAATGACAAACCCAATCATTTCAAGACGAGAACCAAACCGACCAAACTGTTGAGACACAAGACTGCTGACTCAGCTGATTTATTGTTGATTTTAGTTCTTTGTTTTTTTGTTCCTCTCTGTGAAATTTGTCTTGTGTGACCTTAAACCGCACAGTACGACAGGAATTCCTGAAAAAAGAACAGAAACGAGTGTGTAGAGTCACACTCCCATAAACCGCATGGGCTTGCCAGTTAGCAGAGCTCTGATCAACACTCCAGCGTGCGTACCGCCGTCATCCGACTCTTATCGGCAAATTCCGCTTTCCAGAACATCCCCAGTCTTTGTCACGTGCGTTAGGAAAGAGGGAGCGTGAAAGTGGGTCATCAGAGCCGCCCCGCTCTGCTGTAGTATCAGAGACAGACGGGGACCAATGTCATCACAATCATCACGTGTTGCTCCACCTGTGCAGGAGCCATAATATAGACTCACACACACCAAACAGAGCAGAATAAATACTTAAAAGGCCTTTCCTTCAGTTAAACAAGATACAAATAAAATATTTTTGAATCGATGCTTCCAGAGGCATCATATGAGCTCCTCATTAGCTGTCACGAACACCAGATCGTGCACAGACACGTGAGCGTTCTCCCTCAGCCATCGGGCGTCCTCGGTTCACTCGTAGGCTGCACACCGAGGAGGAGGAGGAGTGGGCTGGAATACTCAGGAAACGTGTCTCTTTTAGTGTTTGATATATTTAATCACCCTTTACCACATTATTTGTCTCTTACTGATGGTTATTTTTGAGTGTGTGTGTGTGTGTGTGTGTGTAGGAGGAGGGAGTTCCTACTGCAGCAGCTCCATCCTCACTTCATGCTCTTTAATCCAAAGCCCGGTAGCGGGGTGACAAAGCGGAACGGCACCAAAAGAGGAAGAAAGTTGCAGCGCTTCCTGCTGCTGAAACCAAAAGCCACCTATTGTTCTGCCGCTCCACACAACGCAGCACCGTTTTATAAGAAACAACATTTATCCTCATTTTCTAAGTCGCGCAGCATTCAGCTCGACTGAGTCCCCGCTGTGAATCGGACTCTTTAGGGAGTTCAATTACACAATGAGACAGAAACCTGAACCCAAGCACCTCTGGTCAGAAACGAATAACAAACAACTCATCAGAAACGCAGAGGTGAGCAGGTCCTCGTTTGGCTGCTTTTCTTGGGAACTGAGCAGAAAAATGCAGAAAGGCGTCACACTTGATCTCTAGTGTGAAGAGAAGCTATGAGGCCCAGCTAGGAACTACAGTTGCTGAGCTGGAAACGCTAAAAGTTCTGCCAACAATAACATAACATGTGCAGCAGAAGGCTCCAGGAGTTCCTGAGATCCCTCAAAGGTCACATTAAACTGCTACTTCATGCTTTTGTTCTGTACCTTGCTTTCCTGGGGTGTGTTGTGGATGTGCATAGAGCTCGGCTTAACACCGTTGGCTTTGGTCCTCTTGTAGAGAGCAAATCTGCTTTTCCGTCTACCCCGATCTCCATTGGGCAGGGAGCCATTGTACCTGTCACACAGAGAGGTGGGGGTTGGGTTGGAGAGAAGGACAGAAAATTCACTTTTAAGGGTTTTTTTTTTTTCCTGAACGATAAGGGAAACGTTTTGGGGGTAGCTGAAAAGAGATGTGTGTAATGAGATTTACAAGCAAAATTCTTGTAATCATATAAAAAAGTACACATGGAGATTTAGAAACATCTGTGTGTTTTGAAAGGGAGCTTTTCCACGCATTACATCACTGGCAATCTTTTACAGCACATTAGTAATCTAAGCGTCACCTCGGATAATGTCTCTTATTACATAATGTATTCCAGGGCTGGTGTTTCAGGGAGCTAGCCTAGCCCCGTGTAAACTACACATTTTTGTTGCTCTGGAGCAGACCGAGAAACGCTCATCAGGTTTGTGCAGCGAGCTGACTCTTGCTACATTTTCCCTTACTTCAGAATTTAATATAATGATTCAGAAGGACTCAATTTCAAATATTTACTGGAAAAATAGCTGAAATCTATCGGTTCTCATTCCTAATGACTAAGTGACAGATTCCAGCTTTGACCTTGTGTGTGGGGAGGGGCACCTCACCCAAACTCCTCCTCGCTGAACAGGGAAGCCCCTTCCGGTACGCCTGGTCCCCTCTCTGCCCACCAGCTGGCTCCTACAGCTGGGACACCCCATGCTTCACTTCCATCCAACACACAGACCTTCTGTCACACCCTCATGTAACCACAGTCTGCTCAAACAGACACTTTCTACAGAAACATCTACCAAACACCCCACATCCGATTATAATTTAACCAGAGGGAAGTAACTCCAACAGTATAATCTGACATTTCCTCTCTTTGTTTCAAAATAAAAGCTCCAGAACCCTCTTCTCTTCCCACTACCTCACCTCCCAGCTAGTCCACCTGTCCCATGTCTCCACACGGCTGGCCAGGCACGGAAACACATGGTCCCCCAGTCAGCTAAGTGCACAGAGCTGGCCTGTAAGACACACCACCCACAGAGAGCTGCAGAGGCCCTGGATCTCTCTATGAACCACCTAAAGCTAAAACCCTTTGGCACATAAAATAACAATTACACCAAAAAGCTAAAATTGCAGCATTTGGTCATTTAAGCTGGCTTTCTGGCAGAAATGATGCTAGGGATGCATGTTTACCAAAAAAATTTTAACCGGTTTTTGAAGCCATTAAATGAAGCTGTTAATACTCGGTTAACCGTGAAACACCCCCCCCCCCGTTAGTGGGAAAGAGCTGAAATGTCCGTCAGGACCTGTTGCGTAACGGGCCATCCGACAGCAAATACACGGCGCTGCAGGCCACACTTTTAAAAAACACTTCAAGTTTCCTTACATTCAAGTAAATAATTCTTTATTTAACTTAAACTAGAGGAGGCAGACACTAAGGTGTCACAAAGCAGGTGTCGCGGCTGTCAGCTGTTGCTGATCTCGTGCCATTTTGATTTTGTTTTTCCAGGCTGAGCGCTTTGATGTTGGGCTCATTTTGTTAATTACTACGTCTAAAATGCTCCTATGCTGTGCATTTTCCTAAACGCTTTGTTTTTGAGTAAATTTGACTTATTTCTTCTTCTGTGGTTTTGATCGTGGCGCTCTTGCGCCCTTTGGTGGCACAAAATATATTACACCCACGCACAGCAGCAGGACGTGAACTGGCAGTTAACCGGGCAAGACTACTTGAGCCTATTACAACATTAACTATGTAATCCATAATGTTTGCCTCTGAAGACACTTTTGTCATAAAATGACATTTGAAGTTAACAAACACGAATTACAGGTAGACCGATATTGGTTTTTAATGCCCGATGCCGATATGTGCTGTTGATTTTCATGGCTGACGCTGATAACAAAAGTGGATGAACAACATTTCTGCACCTGAATCAGTTTTCACGAAAAGTAATTTTGTTTTCTGCACAGCATTAAAGTCTCAAACCAAAGTTAATCCAACCAATCAATAGACCGAGTATTAAATCTAACAGCAATGTTTTAGAGCATCTATGAATCAGACGTTCTTCAGGAATGTAAACATACATCTACATAAAATGTTGCCGCTGCCTGCAAATGTGCCAGGCTTTATATCAGCTCTATTAAAGACGTACAGCGGTCGATGCTGGAATATAAAAGAAAGGTAAATATCGGTCACACAAATGCATCCTGTTCAACCAAAACGCAATTGCAAGTATCTCAAATCTGCCTCGGAAAGCCCCTGCCTAGACAGAAAACCAACTACATAGTTCAAGGTATCTGTTGGCTCCTTGTACCTGAACGTCTCACACTAAGCATACATCCAGATGACATGCAGCTTAGCCTGTTCATGGCGAATTCTCCTGCAGAACACATTTAAGTCTGTAATAAATGCGACACGTGCTTTCAATTAATTCATCATTATACCGACGAACAATACGGTGTCATCCAGGAGCTGCCACCGTCACATTAGCTAGGACAGGTTCTTTAAAGCTGTGCTCTCAACTAATTGTGATCACTTTCCTTTTTGACCTGTGCCAGACAGAAAGCGGATTTACCCTCCAATATTTAGCAGCAGGGATTAGACGACTCTGGCGTATCACATATCCTCCAGGGCTGCGGTGAGGAGCCAACAGCACCTCCTACCTCTTGTGCTAACATGAAAGTCTTGTGTTCAGAATGAAGAAGAGAACTGCTGCGTAGTTCTAACAGTCATTAGTCATTAGCATGACACAGAGTCGAGGGTGGTCCTCAGGGGTCACGAAAGTCAAATGACTCAGCAGAGTAAGACTTTATGTGGTTACTGGGAGGCCTCTTGTAGGTAAACGTTTGGCTGGCCCTGTCAGTTGCCTTGGGGTGGGTTCTGGAAGATTTGACCTGTTGTTGAAGGGTTCTCTCGGTTTCTAGATAATGTGATTTGGCCTAGTGGGAGAGTGTCCGCCCTGGGACTGGAAGATCGGGGTTCAAATCCTGGTCGAGTCATACCAGAAGCCTCTTTTATAAGACACCATGCCGGCAAATTGGCGTAATATTACCGCAATATGGTATGTCATGAACGCGACATGATGGCATGGTGTTGCACGAATTTTGCAGCATTCGTTCCGCCTCGCTTGGTAGTAATATTGCGGTAATGGTCTGTCGTATGCACCCTGGCGCTACAGAGGCAGATGTCATGATGACGTGGGGAGTTATTGCTGAGCTCCGGCTGGCAGATTTATTGAAAATGAAAGTAAACACAGGCAATAAGGTTTGCTTTTTGAACAAAATCAGCTGAGACGGCAAACTGGAGCGCCGCAGCGCTCCATGAGCCTCTGTTAGAGCTGAAGCTCAGATCACCAGAGACTGCACAGGGACTGATGGGGACAGACACCTTTAGGAGCTGCTTGTTAAAAAAAACTTAACGATCATGGCTTCAATCGCAATAAAAAGCAAGTTATGTTCAAGATAAACGGAAGTCTGCGGCAGCGCAGAGACCGCCCCATACCCCCTTTATGCCACCATCACCTAATCTTTTATAAAATTGCCACGATTGCGCCACATTACCGCCATGGTCTGATCTTATAAACGACCTTTATCCTCCCCATGGAGCCGCGGCAAATCCCGTTTTGCAAACGCTATGGTCCTGTAAAAACAGCTAAAGACTTTAAAAATGGGACCCAATGCCTCCCTGCGGAGCTGGATTGGGAGGTTAAACCACCAAATAGTTCCCGAGCGCAGCCACAGCTGCAGCTCATCTCTCCCCATGGGGATGGATCAAATGCAGAGGTGAATTTCGCCAGTGTGTGGTTGACTAATGGAACTTTAACTTTAACTAGAAGTTGAGAATAAACCAAGAAGCTCAAAACGGTCTAATTTTTTCACCATAAAAAAATGCAACTATATATTAGCTAACAAAACCAATTGTTATATGGTTACTTAAGTCTGTTAAGTTAGAAAATACAGCTGAAAAGATGCCAACAACTGGTCGAACATGTAAAACTGAATCCATGGGAACATATTCTGGTGGCAAGGCTTGGGGAGGGGGATCGGACCTTTGAATTCAAAACTAGCTTGCCTAACCAGCTTTCCAACCCAATAGGACTAAACTGACTGATTCCATTTATTCATCTTAAATCCTTCGTCTCACAGGTGAAAGAAAAACTTTTTATCTTATGATTTCTGAAGAAGGCCTCATGTGTCTACACTAGTGTACGTCTGTCCCAAAGACAGATTTGTACACCTCGCTTCCTTTTATAACAAATTGTAGGAAGTCTAATCAATAGGCCCAGTCTCCCGGCCACAGTGAACAGAGGAAGCTGAGAAAAGGCAAAGGCGGAGTCCTGATCAATCCGTCCATTCATTTGCAAGACACACATTCACCCCTTCCTCCTCTAACTGACCAGCACCGAGCCAATCCACCCCAGAGGGGTGGAGGGGAGAGCAGCCATGCAAGTAATCAGAGCCACTGCGACGGTCATGACAACAAACCAGCAAGGGAACTGCTGCTCTAACAGGCTTTGTTCCACGCTGTCAGCTATCTTGTCTACCATCAGCTTTATCAATGGGATGTGATGTCATGGCAGTGATTATACACCCGTCACGTCTGATTCACATATGTGCCCTGATGTCGGGAGGGGGGGGGGGGGGGGGGGGGTGCCAGCATCAAATGTGCCACATGCTCAGCCCTGGGTAGCAAACAGTCAGCACTACTTTATGTCCTTTTCAATAAGCAGGACGGCTGAGAATGGACAGCTGGAGGTTAAGGACAAAAGACACATTATACTCTCGGTTCTAACCTTTACACAACTCTCTCCAGCGCTTTTAACAACGTTTGTAAAAATAAACAATGAAAACTGAATTATTCATTCAAAACACAGAGAAAATCCATGGCAATGCCCAGAGGGGTTAGATATAAAATCAATTGTTGTATTTTCCCTTTAAATTGTTAACGTAAAACAAGCCTTGAAGTTTAGCAAACCTAATCTGAGATTTGAAGTCAATTTACTGTACTTTTAATGAGATAATTCAATTAATCATTAGTGTCAATAATAATCTCTAGTGATTAATGGGATTTTTTTTACAAGGAACTCATATTAAACAGTTGAACCAAACAAAAATATAAAAACAAAGATTGGCTTACATGATCTTAGAGCATGATGGTTAGAAGGATCTATTATAAACTATTTCACAAATCTTTAAATTGAAGCTGGAGCACAATGAAAAGTGGACAAAACGATTATTATAAGGGGTGTGAAACGGAGAGAATCTTGATATATTTATCACAACAAAGGCAACAAGATACACTATATTGCAATACAAGAGCCAGATGATATCTGAAAGTTTTAAATTTAATTTCATATGGAAAATTCAGGTCAGAAGCTTCCGAGACACATTCCATCCATTCATTTTCCTCCGCATTTTCAGGGTCGGGTCACAGTAGTCTAAGCAAAGACCCAGACTTCCCTCTAAAGCCTAGTTTATGCTTCCACGCATAGACGAAGACGATTTGCTCTCAGACTTCTACATCACCTGAGGAATGTTGCAAAACAATTCCCCGCCAAGACAACAGAGGGTGTAGCGCTGTTCTTGGGTATCCTGTCATGGGCTGCATGGTGGTGCAGTGGTTAGCACTGTTTAATCAATTTCCCTCTGGGATTAATAAAGTATTTTTGAATTGAATTTGAGTTGCCTCGCAGCACGAAGGTTGCAGGTTCGAAACTGGGCTCAGCTGCGGCCTTTCTGCGTGGAGTTGCGTGTTCTCCCCATGCATGCGTGGGGTTCCTCCGGGTACTCCGGTTTCCCCCACAGATCACAACATGCCCTATAGGTTATAAATTGTAAGTCGCTTTGGATAAAAGCGTCTGCCAAATAAACATAAACATATATCCGGTCCAAGATAGTGCATCGGAAGGTTGCAGGTTCGAGCCCCGCTCAGTCTGTCGCTGTCGTTGTGTCCTTGGGCAAGACACTTAACCCACGTTGCCTGCTGGTGGTGGTCGGAGGAACCGGTGGCGCCAGTGCTCGGCAGCCTCGCCTCTGTCAGTGCACCCCAGGGCAGATGTGGCTACATTGTAGCTCATCCCCACCAGTGTGTGAATGTGTGTGTGAATGGGTGAATGACTGATTGTGTTGTAAAGCGCCTTGGGGGGTTCCAGGACTCTAGAAGGTGCTACATCAAATACAGGCCATTTAACATTTACAATATGCATATTGCAAAGAACAGATAAATATTGCAATGAATGGTCAGCTCAAATGTTTGCTACACATAATGTATTATGTCAAACGGAAGCATGATGTTTTTTTTAAATCAAATGGAACTCTTCACCCATTTCAAATCAATCAATCAAAATCAAAGATACTTTATTAATCCCAGAGGGAAATTAGAGTGTTGGCCAATTGGATGGGTTCTCATAGGTTTAGATGCCCGCCCCTGACACTTAAAAGAGCAAGTCACCCCCTACCAGATTCTTACTCAACTCCCACTTCCTGTTTGAAAAATGCAACAAATGCTGTTGCCTAGCAGACCCAGAGTGTGGAGTCGCTAACAAATACACACACTCGCGACATTGTGACATCATAATGTACCATCTAACATCATAGTGTACCTCTTAGCCAATAGCGACAGCAGATTTAAATTCAAATGCAGTGCTGAGTTTTTGCCTGACGACGGTGCAACACTGACAGTTTTAGGCAGAATATTTAAATTTTAACTAAGATGCAGTAAAGTGCCAAATTATTGACTACATGTGTCTGCAGCACGATCAGACACTCATTTATATAGTTAATCAGCAAAAAAAAATGTTGATTTGGTGTGACTTGCTTTGATGATGGTTAAGAAACACCTGAGTTAGCTTTCTTCTGCTCTTTCTGCTTTTCCCGGGATCCACTGATTGCCTTTTATTGTTCATTTTCTTTTTCCCTTTCCTCACATCTTTTGCTTTTCTTATTTTTATGATTATTTTTTATTTAAAAAAATGTTTTTACATATTTTTGTTCCTGAGTTAAGTTTTTATTTATCGCTAGTAATAGCGTCATCGCAATATTAATCGCAGGTTTTCCCAATATCGTGCAGCCCTAATTTAATACCACAGTACTTTACTATCCCTAGTCACTACTTTATAGTCGTGTCTTCCTTTTAAAAAGATAAAATTATAGAATTCCCGTTTTATGAGGCCATGGAGAATTCAGACAAAGTGCATCAAGAATTCAACCCCTGACTCCTAAGAGCAGCAACTAGTGTCAAACGTGACACACTTAATTAAACAGACTAGACATCATAGGTTCTCGCTATGTGCTCTGCTGTTAAGCTGATCGTGTCAACAGTTAAAGCTCCTTGGTGATCATCAGCTCTTTGTTGCTAGCTTGTGTTTTGTGTCCAAACAATGGAGGCACCGGACAGTGCGTGTTACAACACAGGCTGTGGCAGTCTGAGCTTGTGATGGCAGTAAAGGAAGCAGCCAGGGGGCTGGGGGTGGGGACCACCACGACTTCCGAATTCCTGAAACCCCACGAATCCAACTTCCATGCAAGGGAAGCGCGTTCCGGTTCGGTTAGGCCGTTCAAACTGAGGTGGGACAAGTTTCCGTTAGCTAAAGTTGTCAAGGGGCGGATTTATTATCGGTGTGGCTGCTTTTACACCCAGTTATCTTAGACTGAAACATCGTCATCGACTGTAACATGACCGTGTGCATATTTCAGACTGAGCACGTGTCTGCTTTGGGGGAGTAACGTGAGCTCGTAAATTTCTAAACTGAGTTTTTCGTTCGACTAAAACCGTAAAAAACGCCACAAAACTGCGCAGTGTTGTTTTTCAAACATTCAGCTGAGTCAGTTGCCCCTTGTGAAACTTTTAGCACAACATCCGCTAATGATTCTCGCTAACAGCAAAGTAAAAATATTTAAACGTTAACATAACTTACCCCAGAACTACTAGCTCCCCGTATTTCACCGGGTCTTTGGATGGGGCGCAGTGTTCCTCTTGACTAGACGAAAACATGAGGCTTTCTGTGTTAGCTACTCCGTAATAACAGCGAGTCACACAACTCGGGGAAATTCCTTTTAAAAAATTAGGAAAGCTGGCATTTTGTATCCCACAGCTAGCGAATCCGCTTAGAAGAATCCGGTTATTTATAAATTAACAGCTATATAACTTCCCCATCGTGACACAACACAACGTAACTAAGTTGGCAGTTGGATCTGTTCTAAAGAAGATACGAAAACAGCGAGGAGCAGGACCGGAATGTACCATTCACTTATTCTGGACTTTCTGTAGGGGGGATGATTCCCAGCGGCTCCCTTTGATACGGCATTTTTACCAAGCTTTGTTGAATATTGTGATTTGAATATATTTCATTGGGTTCAGTAAAACGTTTTGTGCTTTCTTTGAGACAGAGTCTAAAAGAAGAAACGGCTAGAGTTCAACACTCCTTTTAGACCCCCACACATTTTCCCAACGTGGTATCTTCTGTTATGTAAACAAAGAGTACAATCTGGGAATTTTTAAAATGATCATTAATTTTTTTGTTTGTTCAGTATTAAACTAAATTAGCAAATCTTCCTTCGATTATTTTTGTCAAATATTCACATATTGATGTTATTTAAAAATATAACAAACGCCAGACTTCTTTTAGGAAAATGTTTGTGTGTGATGGGAATATGAAACACGTTTCCTGAGGGAGGAAAAAGGTGGCGAAATCAGATTTCCTCATTTTGTCTGAGAACCTGTTGAGCTCCTTAAAAACTTTATTCAAATAGGACTTTATTGCAGTTTGCAAATACATGATTGATTGTGTAGTAATAAGATCACTATCAGCTTGCCTGTTTTTAACTTCCTTTTGACAGTTTTGTTGATGATAAATGACCCGCACTTGTATAGCGCCTCTCAGAGTAAGGACTCCAAAGCGCTTTACACTACAGTGTATCATTCATCCATTCACACATTCACACACTGATGGTGATGAGCTACGATGTAGCCACAGCTGCCCTGGGGCACACTGACAGAGGCGAGGCTGCCGAGCACAGGTGCCACCGGTCCCTCCGACCACCATCAGCAGGCAAGGTGGGTTAAGTGTCTTGCCCAAGGACACAATAGCAGAATTCTCTGTCCGGAGCCGGAATCGAATCTGCAACCTTCCGATTACTGGACAACCCACTCAACCTGTTGAGCTACTGCTGCCCAATGTTGTAGGTAATTTTCTTGAAGCAGACATTTAGATATCTTTATAACACCCAATCACTGTCTAAAATTGTTATGAGAAGAATTCACTGTTACTGTGGTTCTGAGGATCACTCATGACATCCTTATACGATGCTTTTATTGCCACCTTTTCCAGTGTCCCACTTGTTCAGTTATCACACCTTTCTAACGAATGTCCCGCTTTTCCCATTTTTCGCTGGCTGGCAGTCTCATCAACACTTTACATCCTCTGTCTTGTTTTCACAAGAACCTGTATGAGTGGAGGTGCTACTGCCCCGGGCCCCTTCAGTGGCCCTGGTTGCCTCTGTAATTGTGGCCCTCTGTTTGAACTGGTGTTGAGTTTCAAAGTGCAATAACACTTGACACAAAAACAAAAGGTAGTGGGGGGTTACTGGGGTCCATGAAGGTATTTGCATCCACACCCTCACATTCTGCAGCTTGAAACAATCACATACTGTTGGGGGTTGGGGGGGGATCCTAAATCTTGTCCATTAATGACAATATTGTATGAACTTCTGCAGTTGTGCACAAGCATCAGGCTGTTCTAAGCCTGTAACTAAAAGGGTGTGGTATAATGAATGTTTACTGCTCTTTTGTGTCACTGTCTCTTTCCGCTTTGCTTTCATCCATCGTCTTTATAAAAGAGCACAAGAGAACAGCTTTTTCTCTTCTATCTGTCCAATTCAAACACAGAATAGTTGGGGGTGGGTGGGGATCAAAGGCTCACCAGCACATACCACACTGATGGAGAGCAGATGCAGGGAGTGGGATGCTTTGCTGAAGTTGCACTGGCATTGTGCAAGTGCAAATCTATGTTTAGGAGGAGGAGTCAAATGTGACCAGGCAAGGAGCATGCAGAACAGAGTATGTTGCAAACAGCTACATTGCACAACTCAGACAGAACGTCCTGTTGTGTAAGGCTGTACGCCTGATGAGTGAACTGAATTATTAAATCTTAAGTCATAAAAGATGACAAAATTACGTTTTTGCAAGAATGAAATGCAAATCTGGATTATCTCATTTCATCTGGGAAAATTTTGATCTGCAGCCCATCTGATCAGGTTGCAAATTTCCCTTTTGTTGAAATCTGGATGACGAGCTCATTGAAGATGCAGCTCAGCAAGTCCTATGAAAGCAAAACCCCAGATCTCCAATCAGCTGACTGCAGCATGACGTGTGGGAGAATGCAAGGAATGTGCTGATCCCATGTTGCTCGTGCTCTTGACCTGACCAACACACACACGCACACACACCCTCTCAGCAAACACAAGAGCCTTGTTTAAAAGGCCTTTAAAATGCGAGACGGCAACAGCTTCCCAAACAGAACTTACACTTTAGGGTTTAGCAAAGCAAAAAAGGGTCCCAACCTGAACCTTAAACTCATGCATCTGTACTATTAGGTAAATGCAATTAATGGGCTTAAAATATAGCTTCCTGTGTATAATTTAGTCAATATTTTCCACTCATTTTCTGGCTTACTTTCCCATCTTTGCACTGATGTAGCCTATTGTATGAATTTAAAATGTATCCTGTTCTGAGTGAATTAAAACACGAGCCTGAAGATTCAACATATTCTTTTTGCATTAAAAACAAAAATAAAGAAAAATCACTGCATGAAAAATAAGTTGATCATGTTTAAATTGACCTGTCGGCATAAGATCCACCCACAGAAGCATTTTTATTGACATTCAGAGTTTAGGTGAAAATATGCATAAAAAAAACAACTGAGGTTATGTGCTGTCTTGCTGTGCACAAGAAACAGACTGCAATGATAAAGAGACTAAAACCTATTTTTATTAAGCATCCCTTTTATTAACGTCACCCATTACAAAAAGAACAATTTTCAGTGTTAATTAACTTAATAATATAACAAGTGTTGACTACAGATGGTCTGGGACGCTCTTTTTTTAAGTGTTTGCAGTAGAATTAAAAACCTCTAAACTGTCGGCCCGGCCTTCTTCCCCACACATCCAGGGTCACAGACTCCCTTCTGTTTGGCGCTGCGGGAAAGACTTTTTTTTTTGTACAACTTGTTAAAGCATCTCCATGGTTACGGTCACGTAATGACCCATCTGCCATGCTGGGCCCTTTTCCCATCTCCCCTTTTCCAGCCACGACCGAGTCAAGGTGTGCATGGAGTGACAGATGCAAGACAAAGTAGTTTGTGAAGTTCTCTACTCAGAGGGCGAATCAACAGAACAACCGTATTTCAGCAGGTCCTAAATGGTACATTTAAACAATACATTATCTTTAAGTTAAGGAAAATACTGAAAACCCCAGAGTTTATTTAGTTAAGTTGGAAGTATGCATCTCTGCCCTCTTAAGATGAAAAATAAGGGAAAAAAGTTGTTTTCAAAGGGAGAAAACAATACAGGCGACTGAAAAGAGAGGAATGGTTGCCACGTTAAATAATGCCAGAAGTTGTTTTAGTTTAAATCAACCAGTGATGCAGAAGGAGGAATGTGGCTGGAGTGGAGCAGCTTGGAACAGAAGAGTAACCTCTGTGGCCCACACCGGGTCAGGGGGTGGTTCAGCAGCCCCACGACTAGTCAGCAGGAGGCGACGGGAGTTTGGGAGTGAGGAGGTGGCTGGGTGTGACTATGATCTGGTGTGGTAGTGACGAGGTGGTGTTCAAAGGTGGTCTCCATACTGTACGGAGCTCCGTCCTCGCTTTAGACCTTAGGAAGGTCTTTTTCAAGCTCCTGAAGAAAAAAAAACAACAGAAATGTTGAAACTGACAAAAGCAGGATGATGGTTGATGTGACGATAACTCACCCCCTGCTGTCCCTTAGTGAGCTGTTGGCTGACAGTTTGAAGCAGCTGCTGCATCTCTCTGACCGTTTGATTCAGCCCTGCAGTCATTTTCTCCTTTTTATCAATATCCTCCTGTTAGATCCAGAAGAACAGATTTAGCCAAAACACTCGAGCACTGAATGTTAGCGCTATAAAGGAAAAAACTAAAAATGCACCCGACTCTTACCGTCTCCGACGGCAGACTGCTGTTCTCTATCACACCATCAGGTTTGTCTGACAGTTTTGACAGTTCGTCCTGGATCAGATCAAGAGACTGCTGAGCCTGTGTGAGCGACAGGAACCTCATCAGCTGCAGTTTAACTTGCAGCCGCCGCCGCGGCACAAAAACCAAGCGAGTACTTCTACCTTGTAGAGGTCACCGGCCACTTTCTGCCGCTCGCTCTCCTCTGCCTCCAACTTGGACAACGTCTCGGTGAGCTGGGTTTTCAGCTGCAGTCAAAACAGACATTTACATGTAAAGCAACATCCTTTTCTCAGAATGTGTACAAAGGACAAAAAGTCCACCGTGTGCTTGGCCAATTGAGACAAAGTTGTAATGCAGAAAAAGTTTGTTAAAGGAAGAATGACGAGTCGTGGTCCGGGAAGTCCAGCCTAAGTAAAAAAAAAACCACTCCTGTAGCTCGTCACACATCTTAAAGTGTATTTATAATCCTCCTAAAAGGGACGTTCAAACTCAAGTACATAAAATAAAACTAGCACGATCTGTGATTATGTCGCCGACTGTCTGGTGCAGCCATTGCGGGTTTGTTTACATTCCTACTGAAAAACCTCCAACACCATTTATGCCGATAGCACACGGAGATAAGACTTTTCAGGCTGAGGCAAAGGTTCCCGTCAGACTTCAGGTCTCTGCAGAGGAAAACGTTGACTGATAAGTCACGAGTTAGATGGTTAAAGATAAAATGTCGATGTGAGCAGAATAAAGGTGAGGAAAAACCAGAGTTAGTACAAACGCATGTGAGGTTAAATCATCAGTCTGGGCTCCCCCCCCCCCCCCCCCCATTTGACAAAGACAGCAGCTCCAACATTTGGCATCATGTTTAGAGAAGTTAGGAAAGGTGAGATAGTTATGCAGAAGCTGGAAACCCCCCCATTCCGGAGTGGGATAGATGTCAGAGCAGCTCTAGCTGGAGGAGGATCCGTGCTTACCAAAGTCAGCTCCTCATTCTGTCTGATGGCCTCGGTATACGAGCCATCTAGTCTGGTCTGCAATTCAGTCAACAGATCTTTGAGCTGAAATTAAGTGTGAGATGATTTGGTTTAATGAGGTTCTGTGGGGGGTGATCCAGAACAGCACCAGTGACTAGGGATGGGTACCTTTGACATTTGAATCGATCCGGCACTAATTCCCGGTACCTACGAATCGATACCGGTACTTAACGGTACCAATTTTCGATACTTTTGAGTGTTTATTATTTTAATTCTCTTTTATAATTAAATATATATTTTCCTCAATATATAACCATATTTGATAAATATCACGATAAATAACATTCAACTGTTTGTATTTTCACATCGTCCTTGTAGTTTTAAAAGTTGATAATTAAACTGAAGCAAACATCTTTACTGTGAACTAAATTTACTGTGTATCTTCTTTCCTTTTACCGTCCTTTTTCAATTCATTTTTCCTACTGGGAAGTTAGAATTTCCGAGGAGAAAGCAAACGCACCATTAGATGATAACAATGGTTGCAATGGAAGCTAACATATCAAGTTAAATAAACTGTTTAAGATAACGTTAACTGCTGGAGCAGATTTAAACGATGATGCCTCACACTTAAATCGTTGTCACTGGTTTCATCTTCACCCAATCACCTGTCGCATTCAGTAAAGTGAAGCCAAATTTTAGAGCACGTTCATATTCTTCTAGTTGGAATTTCGGAGTTCCGAGGAAAAAGCGAACGCACCATTAGTGAAACGGAAGCTAACAAATCAAGCTAACGTTATCTTACATTTTATTTACCTACCGGAGCAGATTAAGATGAGGATGTCTCACTTAGATCGTTGTCGCTGGCTTCATCATCACCCAGTTACCCATCACATTTAGTGAAGTGGACCCAAGCTTTAGCGTTCGTCCTTTCTACCCATGCTGCTCTGTTTACAACTCGCTCGCAGCGACCGATGACATAACGCTCTTGCGCATGCGCAGCTGTCTAGGCAAGTTCTCGATGTGAAGGACGGGTACCGAAACGAGGCACCGTTTCAAATGAAGTGAATCGGTGCTCGGTCAGTACTGTGGAATTCTGTCGGTACCTTAAAAAGTACCGAATTCGGTACCCATCCCTACCAGTGACAGAAGCTGATTGGGCCACAAGGCCCAGGACCCCGTTGAGCCTAGCTTTGCTCACAGGGGCGGTGACATGATGGTTGTTGGTGAAAAGATCCCGCTTCTCCTCACCTCTCGGACTTCCGTCACATAGGTGGCGCTCTCCCGCTCTGCCCGCTCCAACTCACACTCCAAGTGCTGCTTTTCTCTTCTCACCTAAGGAGCAGAGACGGGTCGCAAGTCCACTGATGACTCTCCTACATCTAAACTGTCAGCTCACATGTAATAAAAACAAAAACAGCTCCTACTATTCAGTACGGTTGGCTGCAGCGTGATAAATCTGAATTCGTACCTCTTTAAGCTCTGCCTGGGAAAGCTCCATCTTCAGCTTCCAGCGAGACTCCTCTTCCTCTACGCTGCTCTGCAGGCGCTGCAGGATGCCCTCCTGTGGACGCAGAAGGAATTCAATCTCAGTTCAGAATCGTAAAACCACAAAACTACAAAGAAATTAAAAGATTCTTAACTCACAGTTTCTCCCAAAACCGTCTTGTACGTCTCACAGTCCTTCTGGAGAATCTTTTGACTCTCCTCAGCTTCTTTCAATTTCTGAGTCAAATTCTGTAAAAATAATATTAATTTAAACCTCCGGTATTTAAAATAACTGATGGTTGCACTTCTGTCCTTGATGGTTTACCTCAGAGTCCTCCGTCGTCTGGCTGGATTGTGCTACGGAGCTCTCACCAACTGCCTTCTCAAATCTTTGCAACCATTCCTGATGATTCTACCAAACAATAGAGGTAAAAGGTTAAATCAACAAAACCGACCCCAACAGAAATCCAGTTTAATAGATACCTGTTCAGTGGGCAGAGGCACATGGGGCAGAAGTCTGGTCAGAACACCTCGACACTCTGCTTGAGAGGCCGTCAGCGCTGCTTGGCTCTCCTACGAGATAGCAATGACAAAAACAGGAAGAGAAACTGAAAACTTCCTGATTTATCAGTTCAGATGAAGCGGTTTCCGGATCCAGAGGTCACGCGACCACAATCCTCTTAGGTTCTTGTTCCGATTTAAACCCATCAGTAGAGGTTCTCCCATTAAAACCAGCAGCTTTTGAATCGTAGCGTTACGTAGAATCATTAAAGATCCCACTCATGATCATGTTTTATTTCCTCATGAAAAACACCCGAAAGCAGGGTTTGGATTCATCTGTGCACCTGGTCGTCCTGGAACATGTAAATAAGATGATACGGGTCCTTTAAGAATTAATCTCACTGTCCTCCAAACACACAAACAAAATCATTAATAGATTAAAGACCAAGTTCACCAAGAAACCGCTTTTCACTTGTTACTTCTGGAATACAATCAACCAATACACGTTTAACATGCAGGCTTAATATGAAAATAGTCTTCTACCCCGATTTCCTGCATTAGCCAGTAGAAGCTAACCTTTAGCATTAGCAACTTCTCAACACGGCAAAACTCGCAGGTTTGTGTTTGTGGAGACGAAACATCAATGTTGCAAAGTGATGGAGTCAGCGTTGGCCAATCAGAGGAGAGTTGTCTGAATATCTCCTCTGGCCAACTTCCAGCTCAGTGACCTAGTGGTAGTGTCCGCCCTGAGACTGTTGGATCAGGGTTCGATTCCTGGTCGGGTCATACCAAAGACAAAAATGGGACCCAAGGCCAGCCTGCTCGACACTCAGCATTAAAACTAGAGGTGCTGAAAAAAATCGAGTCAGGTCTGAATCGGGATTCTTATTTATAAAGATTCAGAATCGATTCCAAGAACCCAAATATTTGGCATGTTACAGGTTTGAGATGCACTTTTTTGATCTTTGTTAGGAGAGTCAGTACTCCGTTTACTTTTGTGGTCCCATAAATTGAGATGATTTATGTTTGAATCTGCTGATAAGAGGGCACTTGAATGTAATTTTTTCCATACTCAGAAATTTGAGATATTCTCATATTTATTTTCTAAGTTGATAAATGAGTACTCAGGATTACTCATGTAACTTGTTTCTACACATACTTGAAAAGTATTTGACCGTATTATTTTCAAAGCTACTGTTAGGTAACTACAGATTTGTTATATTTTACAAGGTAAGCAAAAATAAATGTTGCCTTTTGGTCAAAAGATTGCTTCTGTTTACAGTTTTAGGATAACTTTATTTTACATTGTAAATTAGCATTTTTGGAGCATGACCAGTTTAAAGTCCAAATAAAAATGTCCCATAGCTTTAACTAACTTGTACAACAAAGTAGTTCATCCTGGAGCGGACACTCTTTGTTAATACTGATTGTGAATCGATTTAAATTAAGAATCGATTCTGAATCGAATCGGCACTCCAAGAATCGGAATCGAATCAAATCGTGAGTTGCTCTAAGATTCACATCCCTAACTAAAGGGTTGGATTAGGGGGTTGAACCACCAAATGGTTCCTGAGCACGGCTGTGTCTGCAGCTCACCACTCCCCCAGGGGATGGGTCAAATGCGGAGAACAAATTTCACACACACATTAGTGTGTGTGACAACTAGTGGGACTTTAACTTTTCTACTTCCTGAAACAGGAGCGCTACAGCCATTTCCCCACAGAAATCAACTCTCAGGACATTTTTATACGAGAGACTGGTGCAAATGTATTACAAAAACAAGTGAACTTGGTCTTTAAAGTACTTAGAAAATTAACACATGAATAAAAACATGGCTCTGGCACGTGTGACGCCTGATTCAACCAGGATGCATCGAGACGAGCTGCTTCTACTGTAGTCAGGATAGGAGAGCAGCTGCTGTGTTGACTGTACCCTTTCCTGATGTAAGAGGAGGACGGAAAACACACACACACACACACACACACACACACACACACACACAGTAACTGTTAATAGAACAGCTATCTGGTTGCCAGCTACACACAGAGACCTGCACTTGTTCATCCCAAAGGAGATTTTTCATTCGTGGAAACAGCACAGAGAAACAAAGCACAGCTGATGTTTATTAATGATTAAAAACTTCCTGGAAAAAAGGAAGCATATTAAAAATGTGTTTGATTAGACGCTAATATTGACGGTATGATGTCACAAAAGCAGAATGGGGTAAACATGCCATGCCAAATGACAGGAAGCTGCAAAAAAAAAAAAAAAAAGACCATGAATTTCAATCTAAGGACAGCTAGTGAGTGTCTAGGTCACTGCACACTCATTTCCTTAAATCAGCCTGGCTTTTGGGCCAAAGGAGAGCTTCAAAATCAAATCTCTGCACAAAGTGAGCAGCAAAAGGAGTTAACAGCTTCAACGGCTCGAAACTAAAAGGGACTCAAAACCTTTAAGGCCAAGCAAGGTAGGAAAGCGGAGGGCAGGTAAATGAGTATGCAGCGTCATGGATGATGGTGGAAAAGAAACTTCACAGGGTCAATTAAGACAAAACACAGCGTTTCGGAGGGGGATGCATCAGATTGGAACTAGAGTGAAACAGACTGAAGTGAGGGCTCGAACCTTGACAACTTTGCTGAGTTTTCCTTGAAGCATGGACTCGGTGGCTGACAGAGCTTCCATTGCACTCCAGTTTTTCTCCCGAAGCTCCTGTTTTGGTCAGTTCCAGAGAGATACTACGTTCAGTTTAGCCTCAAGAATGCATTTAGTGACCCCCTGATGACAGGCGGCAAAGGACAGAGCAATCCCCACGCCTAAAACTACTCCTCATTTTTAATCACGCCTCATTTCCTTCCATCAAATATGCCTCTGAAAGGTAAAAGATGGGTTTGTAATGCTCTGAATCACCCACAGGCACTAACAGGCTTGTTGAAACAGCCGACTAGGCACAAGAGTGGGCTGGAAGCCCTCTTATGCAACGCTCAGCTTAAGCAACTCAAACCTAAACAGATATTGGTTAAATGTGTGTAATTATGCTTCGTACACGTCTCTCACTGAGAAGCAGAATAGGTGAGACGACAGGGAGTATGGATGCGTGCCGTGTTCAGTCGTGTGAGAGGGGAATGCTTTGTGGTGGTGACATCATTCACATCATTGCTGCAGGAAACCTACATTGTTCTTTTTCCTGTGGAGCTCGAGCGAGTCCCTCAGCTCGGCCAGCTCACTCTGCAGACCGCTGACCTGCCTCTCCTTCTCCGACAACCTGACAAACGACCGCATCGACACTCGTTAAACTTCTGGGACAAAATGCACGATGTAATAAATCCATGAATAAAAACACGAGGAGGACGGAAAAGACCACGCTACTTACGATGCAAGAAGCTCTTGGCTTGGAACTCCAGAGTTGGACTGCTATACGAGCAGAGAAGAGGAAAGCCGTGAAAACCTTTACCTGCTCAAATGTTCCTGCTTCCCTGGATCTGAGCCTTCCTCACCTGTTGTGCCTGCTCCACTTTCTCCATCAGCTCCTTAGCTCTCGCCTCCAGCTCAGCCTTCAGCATCTGAATTTCTTGGTCCTTTGCTGCAAGCCTGAGATTCAAATGTTCGCACCGACCACTTAATATCAAGATCTGCGAATAAGCACAAAAACTCAATCCACAAAAGTCAACTTACTGAGTCTGGAGTTCCTGGAGCTCGGTGGCAGAAGTGCTCGCCTCCTTGGTTCTCAGTTGCTCCAACTCCACCTGAAGGGCAGTGAGCTGCCGCTCCACAGTCTAGAAGATAAAAACGGATTGAGACGAAAACTAAAAAAATAACAACGGAAACAACGTAACGCAGTAAAGTCCAAACCTCAAGTGCCTTCCCTCTGCTAGCGCTGCTGGCTTTCTCCTTCTGTAGACTCTCCTCCAGCGACAACAGCTGCAGATCCTTCTCATGGATCCTGCACGGGTGATCGAATCGGGACGAGGTTACTACATGAATTCCAACATGGTAGCCATCAACCTACAGATGTTTGCACCATGATTTTTCCACATGGCTGAGCTTCAGCCAAGCATTTTTGATTCTACAATATTTAGCAAACAGAAATGTTTTTGTCACATCTTGTGGCTGCAGGAAAAAAAGCCCAAATCATCAGCCCACCACCACCGTGCTTGACCTTTTCTTTCTTCTGATGAAAGCTTTAAAGAGCAAGTCACCCTCAAATAAACTTTTTTTGCCGATAAACTAAATAAACGAGTGTCTAATCGTGCTGCAGACACGTGTCGTCAATAATTTGGCACTTCAGTGCATCTTAGTTAAAATTTAAATATTCTGCCTAAAACCGACAGTGTTCTGCCGTTGTCAGGTAAAAACTCTGCACTATATTTGAATTTAAATCTGTCACCGCTATTGGCTAAGAGGTATGCTATGATGTAAACTGGTACATTATGATGTCACAATGCTGTCGTGAGCCTGTGTGTGTGTGTGTATTTGTTAGCAGCTCCGCCCTCTCGGTCTTCCAGGCAACAGCATTTGTTGCATTTTTCAAACATGAAGTGGGAGTGGAGTTAGACTCTGGTAGGGGTGACTTGCTCTTTAAGGGCATATTTAGTTTTCTCTTTCATTTCTCTGTTTGCAGAATCTTGGTTTAGACCATCACAAGAGTTATTTCAGGTGTTTGAGGCAGTTGTTTTTTGTGTTTACAATACAATCAAGGATACTCGCCTTAGCTTCCATAATAGCACGACTGTAACACGAGCTTAGAGGTGCCAACACTAAAATCGGGGTGTTTCCTTTTAGTCCAACTCAAAGAACAGGAAAACCGTTTTTAAGACGTAAGTTAACGTTCTCCCGTGGATTCATTCAGAACCGAGCTAAAAGGATCGGTGTTGCAACATTTATGCAAATGTCACCGTGCTTTCGCCTCAAAGACAACACGTTCTGTTCCAGGCAGGATTATTAACAGGGAAAGAAGGAATGCCTGCCTGAAAGGAGCTTTTGTGTCCTGAACAGGCAGCGATGTGGAAAGGAGCCCGTTTACCAATCCATTTACAGAATTGCATAAAAAAGTTCATTTTATTGATCTTACTTGGTTTGAAGTGCTTCAACTGTTGACCCTGCTGACACCTTTAATAAGAGAAGAAATTAAATTTATACAAAGTAGAATCAGGGAGCGATCGTTATGGGTGAAGTCAGATTTGACCTTTTCTGCTGTCGTTCTCTTAAGATCCTCGATTTCTCGTCTTAGTGCTTCTCGCTCTGCTCTGACTTTCTGCATCAAGGGGGGAAAAAAGTTATTGCATTTTTGTTTAAAAATCAAATGAAAACACTGAAACATATAAAAGGATAACGACATTAGAGCCCTTTTTAGGAGAGGGAGCATGTCTGGAGTCTGTGCTGCTCTTGGCTGATCATTTCTGAACCTCACCTTGAGCTCCTCCTCCTTGTTGGCCACTTCGATCAGCCCATTCTCCAAAAGTCCCTCAACCATTTTAATACTCTCCTCCTTCTCTCTGACACTAGACAGAAAGAAAAATCAGTGTTTATATTTATTAATATAAGCGTTCACATTACATTTTGGTTTGCACACCCACCTCATCTGGAACTGGTCTAGAGCCAGCTGGGATGCAGTCTGCAAGAAAAAAAGAGAGGACGCATCAAAGAGGAAAACAAACAACACAAACACAGCTTTAAGGTTTTATTTTATGTAAAAGACACAAAACTAACCTGATCAGCAATCCGTGCCTGCAGATCCTGAACCTCTGCCTTCAGCGACATGTTATCGTTGTGCAAAGCCTGCAGATGAAAACATCATTTACTCTAGAACATGTTTAGAAACTCAGACTCCCGTTTAATTGCAGGGAGCTGCTAAAACCCACCTGCATGCTTGTTTCCCTGCTCGCTCCGGCGCTCCTCTCAGCATTTAGAGAATCTTCCAGACTTTTCCTCTGCAGCTCCTTCTCCGCCAGCCTAACACACCACCGTGAATAAAAAGAAAGACTGCTTTAAAAAAGCCCAACAGAATCACTTCTGATGCTATAAAAGTGGGAGAAGTCTCACAGCTTCTGTAGCTCCTCAATGTGGGACACGTGGCTGGCCTAAATGTGGAACAGAGAGGTCTCATTAGCCTACATGTGAGCAGAAATGGAGGTCTGAGCCTTTTAAAGAGAAACAGGTGAAGCTGGCCCTTACCTGTGAAGAGATCTGGGCCTGCAGGCTCTCGTTCTGGACCTGAAATGTCTCCTTTTGAACTTGAAGAGCTTTGTTTTCATTCATGAGCTCCTGTTCAAACAGAATAAGTGACCATTAGACAACAGCTGCTCATCTCCACCTTAAGCCAACGGGTCAGGTGTTGCTCACCTGAACCTGGGCCTGCAGAGATTCATCCTGCATGCTGTGCTGAGACATCTCCATCAGCTCCATCACTCGCTGCTCCAGCCGATCCTTGGAGAGCATGGCTTCTGCCAGGCTGCCGTGTAAGGTCTGGACTTCCTTGTTTTTGTTGTTCATCTCCGTCTCCACCGCCAGCAGCTGGCTGTGGAGCTCTGCAAGCACCGGTGGGCACTCAGTAGCTGAACGTTACCCGATTTGGCAAAACCTCTGCATGTTTTTCCGTGTGACTGATTGCTCACCTTGCTTGGAGGCCTGGAGCTTCTCTCTTTCTGTATTGACGGTGTGGAGGAAGTTCTGCAGCTCTTCCCAGCGCCGTTTGGCGTCCTGTAGCTGTGCCTGGAGAGAAAGAAACCCGTGATTCTTTTAGCAAAGATAGCTTCTCTGTTGAAACATACCTATTAATAGTAAACCTGGATTATGCAACATCATGCTTCAGACTATGCAGCTCAACTCTTGATTATAGCTCTGACGCTTTTTCCAGAGCATGCATGAGTGCAATCTTGTCATTTATTTTAAGACAGACAGGAAGGGCTGATCTGAGAGGCTAGCAGCACAAAGCTTCCCACATAAACCCTCCCATCTCAGGTCATTCCCCCCCACACTCCTCGCTGGGAAATGCCGCCACACCCACAAACCAGATGTGAAGCAATGCAGCACGCCCTGCCTCAGCTGGGGGCTACACAAACACAGGCTGAACACACACTCTGTGCATCTGGATCAGCGTACCTCCAGCTGGGACACGTTCTGCTTGTAGCCGACCTCCAGCGACTTCCTCTGGTGCTCCTCCTGCTGCAGCTTGCCGTTGTTGTCTGCCAGTTCTTTCATCAGACCGGCGTACTCGGAGCGCAGCTTGTTCAGCTCGGCTGAATTCCTGTCAGGAACGCGATATGGAAAACTTACAGGAATTGCTGCTGGAAGACGGTACTAAAAGCTTGCACGTGTTTTATAAAGTAGGTGTGTTTACTGGTGCATCTAGTAGAATTAGAATATCGTGTTGAAAGTTTTTTGTCACGGATCAGAAAGCGAAACTCATTATTAATATTTCAATGCGGTTTAAGTTTTTCAACACCGACTTGCTCTCCATCTGGTTGGTGGCGGAGCTGACGGCGTCCCTCAGAATCCCGTTCTCCTGCTGCAGACGTGTGATCTGGCTCTCCAGCTGTTCCCTCGCCTGCTGAAACTGCACACAAACAGTCCGATCCATTCCAAATACTTCACAAACCTGATTTGTAAACACCTGGCACCAACAGGAAATCACCTTTATTTGCATGGTCTGGAGCTCCTGGTAGCTGCCCTGTGCTTTGGCCTGCATGCCGCCCAGCTCCTTCTCCATGGCTGCACGCTGCTCTCTCATCACCGCCTCCACTCGGCCCGTTTTCTGCTTCTCCAGCTGCAGCTCCTAAAGGTCAACGGCACGAGGGCACACGAGGTTCCATAATCCAGAAGTGCAATGACTCAGCAGAAAAAGGGAAAACCAGTAGGATAGTGGAATGTAAACCTGACTGAGCTGTTTCACTTTCTCTTTGGCGATTGAGGCTTCCTCCTGCAGAGTTGTTAGGAGTTTCTCTCGCTCCTGAGCAGCTGGATCGGGCCTGACGGCGCACTGTGAGCGAGCAACAACTCATTTAAAACACCAGGTCTTCTGTCGCCACCAAGCAATGTGACACGACATAAGTCAAACTTAATAATGTCTCACCTTGTGCCAGGCGTCCAAAGCATTAGGGCTCTTCTCTCGGAGGAGCGCCATCACACTGACAGCTTCTGCGTCCGACATGGCCAGACTAGACAGACCAGAGAGGAGCTCCTTCAGCTTCATCTCCCGGTTCTCTGTTGATTCACAAAGTGTGCTTTTGTAATAAATCATACGTTGTTCCTCACCACTGAGGAGAAGCCAAACCTCAGGAAACAAACGGACTTTTCACCTTTATCAGTTTCATTCTTCGGTTTCTTGCTGGATCCTTTAGACGGAACGTTATCGTTATGAAGTGCCTGGTGGTTTGAAGAAGCGGCTAAATCTGCCAGAATGTGGGTTTCATCTACTGGTGTTAAGAGGAAAAGAGAAGTTTTAAAAAAAGGCTTTAAGCAACAGAAAGATGGATTATTGTTAGGTTTGATCATTACCGGGCTCAGTCTTCTGCTTCTTGGCAGAGTTCTTCTTTTTGCCACTGGGAGCAGAACCATCCAGAACTTTGGTCTCGGTCGCTGCGGGGGTTTCCTTTTTAACCAGCGCCGGCTCTGCTCGCACCTCTACCTGCTGGGTATCGACTGGAACAAAATAAGAGTTTCAGTATGACCCGTCGGGACGCGAAAAGACTTGAACCGGTCATTTTCTGCTTATAAAATTATAATTTAGTTAAATAAAACACAGCAGGTCAGATTTCCTCGTTTACTGACCAGACTCCGCTTTCTGTTTCTTCTTCTTCTCCTTCTTCCCGGAGGACGGGGGAGGAGTCTGAGCCTGCACAGGGACCTGGAAAGCTTGGACCGGAACCGCAGCCTCAAACAGCAAGGGTGGTGTGCTTGGCGCTTTGCTCACAGCTGGAGGTGACTCCGTCTTGCGAGCGATTGGCTTGGAGCCATTTATTTCTGATTCTTCTGAGAGTGAACCCGTTGCGGCTGCAGATGCGGCGGCGGCGGCCGCAGCAGCAGCTTTGGCGGCCTTCTTCTCCTTTTTCTTTCTCTCCCTCAAACCAGCAGGAGCCTCTGGAGATGCCGAGACTAGTGCACTGACAGCAGGTGCTTCTGGGATAACTACCGGTGCAGGGTCCTCCTCCACCTCCAGATTCGAGCCGACACCATCAGTCAAGTCAAACTCCCGCAGGTCTTCTTCCGACTCCCCTCCACCTCCAGCGCTCCCTCCACTGGCAGGATCCTTCTTCTTGCTCTTCTTTTTCTCGTTCTTCTTGCGAGAGTCAGGCTTGATTGGCGACAGCTTGAGGTCTCGTTTCTGCCTGGCCAGCACCTCGTCGTAAGAGGTTTCCTTCATGAAGAGCCAGAAGAAGAGGAACATGAGTGCGATGACCAGGGTGGGGGCCAGGATGAGGAGGTACTGAGAGTCGTAGATGTCCACCGCCATTCTGCAGGGAGGAAGAAAAGGACCCTGATCACAGAAACATCCACTAAAGCCTCAAAGAGCCCAGATGTTAGAAGAGTTAAGCCTGCTGCACATTTCCATCCAGTAAAAGTCTTCCTGGTGCTTCTGAGTGAACGTCCACTTACAGATAAACCCCTGCTTTAAGTAGAGTGTGTGAGAGATAGAGAGATAGAGAGATAATAGATAGAGAGATAATAGATAGATGAATAATAGATAGATAGATAGATGAATAATAGATAGAGAGATGATAGATAGATAGATAGAGAGATAGAGAGAGAGAGAGATAGAGATAGAGAGAGATAGAGATAGAGATAGAGAGAGATAGAGATAGAGATAGAGAGAGATAGAGATAGAGATAGAGAGAGATAGAGATAGAGAGAGATAGAGAGATAGAGATAGAGAGAGATAGAGAGATAGAGAGAGATAGAGAGATAGAGAGAGCTAGAGAGATAGAGAGAGAGATAGAGAGATAGAGAGAGAGATAGAGAGATAGAGAGATAGAGAGATAGATAGAGAGATAGATAGAGAGATAGATAGAGAGATAGATAGAGAGATAGATAGAGAGATAGATAGAGAGATAGATAGAGAGATAGATAGAGAGAGAGATAGAGAGAGAGATAGAGAGAGAGATAGAGAGAGAGATAGAGAGAGAGATAGAGAGATAGAGAGATAGAGAGATAGAGAGATAGAGAGATAGAGAGATAGAGAGATAGAGAGATAGAGAGATGATAGATGATAGATGATAGATGATAGATGATAGATAGATGATAGATGATAGATGATAGATGATAGATGATAGATAGATAGATAGATAGATAGATAGATAGATAGATAGATAGATAGATAGATAGATAGATAGATAGATAGATAGATAGATAGAAAGAAATGATCTAGTGATATGATCTAGGGCTGCCACGGTTAGTCGACGCGTCACGACGACGTCGACCAAAAAAAGTTGGCGATGAATTTAATAGTCGACGCGTCGTTTATCGTATGAGCATTTTTAAAATCTCGCCTGCTGCAGCACGTTCGGCATTTGCTTCCTGCCTCTTTGCTCAACGCACCTGCGCACTAGTCTCCATCCGTGTCAGCCGCTGCTTATGCAAGTCGAGGCACATGCGCAGTGGTGCCACTGCAGCTCAGCCTTCGAATCAGAATCACCAGAGAAATAACACATCATGGCGGAGCTCACAGGTTTGGGAGCATTTTATGAAAACAGCTGAGAAGCAAGTAGAGTGCAAAACTCTGTACGGTGAAACTCTCGGAGCACGTCGGCGATGCACGAGCATCTTAAAAAAAGGCACGTGACTGCGGAGAACGAAGAGTCGCCTCTGTAAGTTTTCCTCTTGTGAGCTGCTAGCATCATAAGTGTAGCAACAACGATTACATGTTTAGAACATGTTTGTATGTCATGTATTTGCGCTAATGTTACAAACGCTAATCATTTATTTGATCCCGCTACGTTACAGTGCTGAAGGAAAGCGGAAACGGACGAGTTTCTTACAAGGCCAAACACGTGCACACCGCAACAAGCCAACATCCTGACCGAGGCCATTTTGAACACGCTGGTAACGGACACGAGACCCCGTCCGTGGTCGGCGATCACGGTTTTAAAGATATGATCAAGAAGTTCAACCCAGAATACTATGAAAACTATTCACCAGGTTAATCACATTTCACCACCATGATGGAAAGGAAATACGAGACAACCTACGAAAAGGTGCATCAGTGTACACACACACACACGGATACACACACACCTTTTCGTCTCGTATTCCTTTTCCTGTGTGTGATTGAGTGCACGACACATGATTAGTTGACTAATCGTCAACAAAACTGACGATCAGTCGACTAATACAATAGCGGTTTGTGGCAGCCCTAATATGATCTAATTAGACATTACTGCATCCCTGCTGGAGAGCCCACCGGCCTCCAAACATTCACATAAATTCACAAAGTGAAATGAACCACAGTCTGAAACACGAAGCAGAGCGGGAAAAAATGTCCGATTAGCTAATAATTAAAGCTAAATTTGGAACAGAATAACTTTCACAAAGACAGGGCGAAGGTTTCCGCCCATCTCTTCCTGGATAACACCTTTAGAGAAGTGGTTGTGTCATGTAGGACTTTCTCAACTGGTAAAAAAGAATAAAACAATAGTGTTTTGCTAAATTGGACATGTTAAAACCCCCGAGTGATGCATCAGAATCGACTTGTCAAAAATACAGAGCGACTCTGGCAGCGAGTGACCCGGAGAGCTGCATTCAGTGTCCGAGTCGGTGTCGTAGAGCAGGCCTCCAGTCATCTGGATTAAGGAGATTACCCATGATAATAGATTTAAGAATAACTCTCCACTGCAGGGTTTCTGAGCATGCTGAGTCCCATAGCATAGCACTGATTCTCCCAATCACACTAGATATAAACACATACCAGGTGTGTTAATAGTCTGAAACACTCAATCTGTAATTATATCAGTTGTTTAACACATTTCTGAGAAGAGCTGACTCAAACCAATACTTCCAACGGTCTGATCTCAGCAGCTGATCGGAAATGTTTGCTTTACAAGTTTGGTTTTTCTACCTCAGCTCCTTTAGACACGCATGTGCGAAAACCAACAGCTAGTGTGCATTCCTTCAGCCTCAGCCTTGCGATATATTCCCATGTCAGATTAGATTAAGGAGCTCTAGAAGCAACAATAATTCCATGGCATATAGGAGAAAGGTGGAGTAACTGGTGCAAAGGTTTGAGGCTTTCTTTCTTTCTCTAACTCTTTTCAGCTCCAGGCCTCAGAGCAGAGGGTACATGAGCTTCCTTATGGAGTCTGAGCCACGTTCCAGCATCAAAATGAGCCTGAGGGACAAAGCCCTCTCGGGCCGTTGGCTCCCCGGAATCTACCCACTTGGCTTGGGCCTGTTTTGGCAGACGAGGACGCAGAGACAAGTCCTGATGACTATCAGGACCAAAAATCTACTTTAAAGCAAGGCCAACGTGGGACATTTGATATTTCTGAGCTGGTAAGCAGCTCTTTATAAGCTAAAAGACAAGAAAAAAGGTAAAAGTAAACAAGGTTGATGGACAATAAAACGCATGCATTCCCATCTGACATGAAACTGCATTGTGAACTCATTATCTTATCAACACCCTGGTCATAAACTGAAAGCATCAAAGTACGCAGTAAGTGGACTCGGCTGTAAACCAAACCTGGTTCTACCGAGGTGCTTCTCAGGATTTAAAGTAAACAAGCAAAAAGACCACCGAGGGCAACAAAAACAATTTTAAACGATCCACAAGCAGAAGCAGCTCAGAAAAGCGGCAAAGAATCAACAAATCAGAAGAACTCGGAAAGTTTCTATAGTCATCATCCCTAACTGAAATTTAACTTTCAGCTAATCTTAGCTTCATAAAATGATAAATGACCCGCACTTGTATAGCGCCTCTCAGAGTAAGGACTCCAAAGCGCTTTACACTACAGTGTATCATTCATCCATTCACACACACACTGATGGTGATGAGCTACGATGTAGCCACAGCTGCCCTGGAGGCGACTACAGCAGACCAAGCGAAAGGTCACCAGGGCTCCGAGTGGAAACATGTCCCATCACCTCCTCAGTGCAGCTGCAGCGGGTTTGGCATCACAAGTGTCACTGGGTGTAAATACCAGGAATAATTTACAGCAGCTCAGCTCTGATGGCTCTGACACAGGCTGGGATCCTTTACGCCACCTCAGCACACAGAGAGCCGTTTACAGACGGTGCACTAATGCTCCTAGCTTGCTTGGTCATGCTGAACTTGTGGGCCTTGCGTTGAACCAAAGATGTCAGCTGGTCTGAAGCCAAAGAGGAAGGATGTCACCTCCTGATCACCACAGAAAGGTAGCCCATCCAGCTCCCAACTGTCTCACGTAGTCATTAAATTAGTCATCGGGCATGCCCACTGCATCACTTCCCCAAAACGATTTGCATAAAATGAAATCCAAGGACCGGATATGACCACAAGTAGTTTCGTCCAATGATTAAAAAGAAGAGGAAGGCTCGTCGCTACTTCTTAAATTCGTCTGATTGTGAATGAACATGCTAGCAGCGCTAACGAACGAGAATGTGGCACAAATCCTAGCCGGACAGATCAATTTATGTAATAAATGTTCAAAACTATCACCAAACTGACCAGGGAAGTTAAAAAGTGAAATAGTTTGGCTCTCGGAAGGCGTGGAAACCCACCCCAACGGGCCTCTTTAGCTAGCGCTAGTGCTAGTGTGGCTCAGCCCTCCTCGGTTGACATCTCTGACCCGGACTATCGCTCCATTCCTCCGCGGTGGGCCATTCCCAGGCCTCCGCGAGAGCCGCTGGCTCTCCTGGCAGGAATCCAACATTAGCATCAGCGGAAACAGCTGTCCGATAAATACCTGTGGCTCCTGTCGTCTGTTCCTCTAGCTGCAGGTGAAATGGCGTTGTTCTGCGGTGACTCTGGCAGACAGACTCCCGACTTCCCAGGGCAGCTCCAGCCTGGCTTTCTCTTCCGTCACACGCTCCGCTGTTTCTGGTTCGCGGGGGCGGGTCATAACTAGTCAGCTTAGGGAGCGCTCGTTTTGATAACCGCGGTACACCAGGCGTACCAGCCATGAGGTGTCAACCAAACGCTCTAAAAGAGGTGGCTGCTGTTTTTAAAAATTAGTCACAAAAATAAAATAATACAAATATTTACACATATTTTATTGTTAATACTTCAGCCAATCAATCACTGTAATTATGTCTGTGAAACTGTAAATTATTCTGGCATAGCTTTTATTTTTATATTCAATTTTTTATTTAAATTTTTACAAATCTGTTAAAACAAATCCTTACAGACATTGTGTTGTATCATACTGTCAAACAGAACAATTTAACAGAAAATATTATCGCTGGCCTTTAATGTTCAAATACACTCAAAATGCCCTGTAAAAATGGACGAACAATGTCGTTTTATTCCAGTTCATCTTCCATCGTGAGGAGAAAATCAATTATTCATCCTCTGAGTTAAAGTTCTCCGACGGCCTGCAGCTCGGCCTCATACTGCCTCTTCAGTCCCTTCAGATACATCCTCAAGCTTTCAGGGTCTAGTCTTGAGTTTCTGGCGGTCTGCAGGAGGCGAGTGGCCAGACGGTAAACCGCTCTCTGTCTCTGAGTTTCTGGATCAGTTTGATGTCTCGCCTGGAGCAATAGAACACACGCAGTTGTTAATTACTCACACAATTAATTTTCTTCATAGCAGCAATTAAACCATGTTTTGGGGTTTAGCGTTAGCTCCTTCTGTTGCATATTATGAGGAGGACTTGCTAAAAAAAAACATCAGAAAATGTCAAGAAAAGCAGAAAAGGCAGTTGAACAAAATGTCAAAATCTGATCTTTGAACCACACCAGAAGCTGCCGGCTGACTTGAGAGGCAATCGTCTTAGCTTCTTGGATCACATCTGAAGGCAGTGCAGTCATTTCTGCTGCTCTCAGACCTACAGGAGGAAACGGGAATCTCTGTTATCCTTTTGCATTTCAACAGGACAGCTCTTGGACTCTGACTGTACCATAATGCCTCTCTTCAGAGGAGCCACGGCTCAGCAGATATGTGTACACCACATGCTCTGCACCAGAGTCACCGCTGCGTGTGTGCTGGACCTCCATGTGCTGGTTCTCTACGTTAGGATAGAGAGACTCCAGCTGACACAGCTCAAGGAAGTGTGTGGCAAACAGCGTGAACGCCTGCAAGCAGCAAACGGGACACACCTTGAAGATTAGAATAGCAAACATGCAGGATTTCTCTGTTTGTTCTGCTTCTTTGTTGACCTAAGAAGTTGATCGCAGCAAAAGACAAAAGACTGAATTGACTTGTCGTAGGAATCTGAATGATCTGGTTTTAATTTCAGAGACAGAAGTAGCTGAGCTAAGCTGTGCTGGTGCATACTTCACCTTGAGGCGGAGGAGGAACTCACACACTGAGTGGCAGATGCCAATCCCTTCTTCAGCACTAGTGCCACGGCCCAACTCATCTATGATGATCAAGGACCGGTCGCTCCCGTTGTGGATTATGTAAGAGATCTTAAGCAAAACAATCATATTAATGACTGGTTGGACGTGAGCAGTCCTTGTGTGCACAAAGTGGCTCACCTCCTTCATTTCCAGCATGAAAGTGGAAGAGTTGGTCTCAAAATCATCGTCTACACCAATTCTGGTGAAAATCTGATCGACAATGCGAAAGGAGGCATATTCAGCCGGGACGAAAGAGCCTGAAAAAATCATAACTACCCGTGGTTAAGACATAACGTTAAGTCACATCTATCGTTTCTAACAAGGTTTGAAGATCTACCGCTAACCGATCTGAGCCATGATCTGACACAGCGCCACCTGCTTCAGGTAGGTGGACTTGCCGCTCATGTTGGGTCCTGTTATGATGACAAAGTTGCTGCCCTCGGTGATGTAGGTGTTGTTTGACACCGGCTGCTGTCGAGCTAGCCGCTCCAGAATGGGGTGACGACTTTGCTTGATGGCCAGAGTGTCTGTAAACTCAGGACGAACTGTCAGACACACACACACACACACACACACACACACACACACACACACACACACACACACACACACACACACACACACACACACAGGTATTTGGTTAGCGACTAATTTAGGGAAAATCAATTTAAAAATATGTAAAAGTTGGTGTTTGTAGGTAAAATCCAAATTTAAAAGAGCAAAGTCACATGGTAATCAGCTTATCGCTGACTGCGTTCAAAACGAATCACAGTAAAGCGAACCAATCATTTCTGAGCGAGGTGTGTGCAGCAGCGGTTACAGGTGTTGGGTCAGCTGCCGAACTTGTCTCTGCAAATACAGAACATCAGCGTCCGCTTATGTAAGAAGGGTAATCTGAGTACATGCTGCCGGGGACAGAACGAGGCAGGCAGTCCGCGTGCGTCTATGAAGAGACGGTTTCAGACAGCTGAGGGCCAACACTCTCCACCCACATGCCTGATGGTGCAGGAAAAAAAGAACTGAGTCCTGCAGAGGTGCAAGCTCAGGAGAGACGTAACGGGTCATCCTGCATGATGGTGGCTGCTTTTTGTGGGGGAGTAGTTACCATAGTCTGAGATTGTGCACGCATTAGCCAGTGAGATCAACATGTCCAGCATGGATACGGCATCCGAGAGTTTGTAGAGGCAGTGGATGTGCTCATGGACGGTGCTAAGCAGCTGACATATCACCCTGGGGAAAAGAAAAAAACATTAAAATCATATGATGGCTTGCAAACATCGCCCTCTATTGGTGGGAAAGTAACTCCTATGAAGACTCAATGTTGGAATTGTACAAATACAGATTCTAAATACAACCAGTAAGACTGGATGCATTTAGATCATTAAAGTCTGTAAAATGTAGAATCACTATTTTCTCACACATAAGACATGTGAAAAATCTCCCTCAGGGCTTCTTCACAGCGTCCGTTCATCTTCATCAGGTCTGCGGTGGTGAAGCCATAGTTGTTCTTGTGCTTGGTGACCTGAGATGGAAGATCTAACTCTCAGTTCTGGTCTGTTTGCTGTCTTGGTGCAATTTTGTTACACGATAATTCACCTTGATGAACTCTGGGGGAAGTTTGCCCTCGGGCAAAACAACACCGTCGAGTTTCATTTGGATGAAGAAACCTCGAGTTGTGCTGAAGCTGGTGCGCATCGGCAAGCCGTAGTCCTCTCCCATCTGGTTCACGAGCCCTGTGCGGAGCAGCGATGCACGCTACGACTGCATGATACAAAACCACAACAAGGCGACACCACGCACTCAACATCCGGCACAAACACCTGCAATGTCGTCGACTATCTCCGTGTAGGCCCTGCGGGCGATGTCGAGGAACTCGTTGATGTTGGGGCGCACTGCGTAACACTTCTGGGTGCGCATGTTCAGGCTGCCTTTCAGATACGTGGTGTTGTCGTTTATCACCGTCTTGATTTGCTCCAGGATCACGTCGAATCTAAACCAGGAACGACACAGCTCACAGCGGTAAAACCAACGACTTTACAGAATTATAAAAACAGCTCGATACCTGTTGTCTTCCAGCGCGGCGCTGTAAGCCTTCAGCAGAGATGTTCTGCAGTCCGTCAACAACGTCTGATCAGTAATTAAAAACGTAATCAGCCTTTTATATTAACTGTTGGACGATTACATTTTTACCAAATAGCAACAGTTACAGACCCTTAGCTGTGGCACCAGATCCAGTGTGTGTTTGAGCTGAATGACGTGTGTAATCTTAGCTTCAGCAGCTTGAACCTGTCAGTGAAACATGCGACGCTTAAAAATCCATAAAATACACAGAAAGTTAAAAACCAGAAACAAATATTTACTGTGCAGCGTGAAACTAGAGGACTCACCGTTTCCTGCTTTGGGACCTGGACCAGAACAGACAGCAGCCGGTCAACATCGAGGAAATGGCCGATGGCTAAAGAGAGCAAACACTGTGTCACTAACATGTAAAAACAGTAAAAGAGCGAGTCGAAACGTTTTTTTTTCTGCATCTCTTGACCATTCTTCAGTCCAAAGAAGAGCTCCTCATTTTGCAGGAGCTCTTGTATGGCATCCAAGCGGATGTTGATCGTGTCCACATCAACTAGAGGCTCTAGAATATTAGAGCGAAGTCTTCTGGCTCCACCAGGGGTTTTTGTGTGGTTGAGGACCCCTAAAAGGGTCTGTTCACTCCTATAAAAAGCAACAAAAACACACAGAATCACAGAGTAAAACAGGTTTAAAGCCGATTCGTTCTTACCTGTGGTCTCTGTTGTTGACCACTAACTCTAAGTTAGCAGCAGATGCCGAGTCAATCATAGCTGTCTGCTCACTCCCTTTGAAGCTCACTTTAAGTGACTTTGCAGCATAAAGAGAGTTCTGGAGAAACTCTAAATATTTCAGCAAAGAAGCTGCAGACGCTAGGCAGTAATACCTAAAGAGATGATGATACAGAGCAAATAAAAAACTGCTGATTTATTTTTGTGCATGAATGACTTACTTGGCCTGCACTTCCATCAGGACAGTGTTGAATTCTGGAGCACACAGCTGCTGGATGTACTCCAGTCCTTTCTTTTCATTAAAATACTTCCGTTGGATCGCAGTAAAAGTCACACCCTGATGAGCACAAGTAAATAAATAATTACGTTGGTTATGAGATGATCCTGGGTTAATTCACCGCAACCACGAGTTAAATATTTGTACCGGGAAATTCTCAGTGATCAGTTTGAACAGCTTGGTCCTTTTTCCCTTCTCACTGGCTGTGTCTGGCATCAATATTTCCACTGGCATCAAGATATGAATCTTTGTTATAACCTGCAGAAAAATAAGACGGTGGAGCTATGATTCCTGTATCTTCTGTTCTCCTTCCAGTGTTGGTAGTATATGGACTGAGTTACCTTGGCATATGTTCCTGTGTCTGCAAACTGAGAAAGTACAAGCTCTGGATATTTCAGGTTGAAACTGGCCATGCCGATCTCTCCCCTTGCAAAACCACGGCCTTCAACCACAGCTACAATCACAGTGGGACCAGAGCTTGTAGATCCTGATGAGCAACTGGCTCCTGTGGGAAAAGGGGAATGCTTTAAATGCAAAACTCCAAATAAACTTTTGGGTTGATGCTCCGGCTGGGTGAGGCAGTGGTGGTGGTGTTGGGTGAGAACCTGTGGGCCCTGCAGAACCTGGTGTCCTTCTGACTCTTGGTGTTTCTCCACAGTGAAAAGAGGAGCTGTCTGAGGTGGACACGAGGAGTGATGAAGCTGTCCTCCCAGCCCTGGAGCTGTTAGGATGCTGGCCTACATGAAGACAAGGCTGTTATTATTTCATAAAGTCAAACACAAATACAAAATGTAACCTTGTGGCTTCATTGTTGACGCCAAGTCAAAGCTAGTGGTCTCTAACTTCTAGTCACTTAAAATAAATTTGGTTATTTAAATTTCTGTTTTAAATCAGTCACCTGAAGCCATTCCCGGTTGGGCTGGACCATGACTTGATTTAGATATGCTCTCATCTGAACTTTGAGGAGAAAGAGCTGAGCAAAGTGATGCTGGATCACAAGAAGAAGTGGTAGTTTGATTCGGTCCTCTGCTCGCGGCTGTCCTCCGGACTTGTCCACGTTCTGAGGCGTCACCACTCGTTACCTCCTCTGTGCTGCTGTGATACATTTTAAAACCTCAAAAACACTCGATAATGGACCGATATATCGTTATTACTTGTTAAATAAATTTTTACGCTTAAACAAACTGTAAAACAGTTTTTTTTTCAAATCAAACAAACAAAAAACTTTTGTTGCTAGCTAGCGACTAAACTAAATGGGCGCGCGACCGTTCTCTGTTCACCAGTTAGCATCTGATCTGCGCATGTCAAAAATAAATAAATAATCATAATTACCGCAAACTAATAATAATAATAATAATAATTTGCATAGTGTAATGTCTAGTTTAGCTTTATGAACGCTGCCTGTAGAAACTACTTGTCTCCAGTAGGGGTGGGAAATTCCTTGCTATAGAAAGACAGTTACTAAAAAACTGATGTTTTATTTAATTTATGTCAGGATTTTATATTTTTATTGTTAAATGTAAACACCCCAAGGATTATTGTTTAAAACAAAATGTGTACGTTTTAAAAGCAATTTACATGTTTGTTTAAATGTCTGTGTGTTTATTAGATGTAGTTGGGTATTTATTGCTCTTGAACTACTAATAGTTTTTACATGATTAGAAACTACAAACTTATGTCTGTAAAAATTTGCACTAAACGCGATTCAAAAAATACAACAGGCAGGCGCAAACAGAACTAAATTATCCTACACTAAAAGACGGAACATTAAAACGCATGCTATGTTTTATAAAAGCTTTCTTTGATTAAATAAAGTTAACTGTGTTTTTGTACCAGGAGAATATAAATTTTTTTCTTTTGATCGTTTTAAATAGCACAGAAAACACATAATTTGAAGCTGGATGATAGAAAATGTGTTTTTTTAAGCCATCGTGTCTGTTAGCTTCGGTGTCGGTAATCCACATAATAAAAAAGTCCAAATGTTTCTCAAAATCTCAATTTCAAATGTGCACGGAGCACGCTACACAAGGCTCTTATTCTGAAAGGAAAAATCAAGAACCGGACGTTGTTTTCATTTCCGGTTTGAGCCAACATGGCGACGAACACGGATGACAGCAAGTATTTCGTGAGAGAAATTGAGAAAAATGACGGTTGTAGCTTAAGGCTGAAGCAGTGCTACATAGGGGATGTTGGTTGTGTGGTCTGGGACGCGGCTATTGTTCTCGCTAAGTATTTAGAGACGAAACAGTTTTACGAGCCGACTTCAGGAGTCAACGTGTGGTCCGGAAAGACGGTGGTGGAGCTGGGAGCTGGGACAGGAGTCGTGGGTTTGATGGCAGCAACACTTGGGTGAGATCAATGATTGCGTTTTTTTGTTTTATTTTGCACCCTTGTTCGAGGGCTTAAACCGCTCGTTTATGCATTAATGGTTATATTATTGAATTTTCTAATTTCTCTACAGAGCCCAGGTTAAAGTGACCGATCTGGAAGATTTGCTGCCCCTTCTTAAGGTGAACATCCAAGAAAATCAGGCACTCATAAGTAGCGGGTCCATAACTGCCAAGGTACTGAAATGGTTTGTATATTTATTTTGATAACACGCTGAATTAATTTATAATTCAAAACACGCTGCAAATCTAATGTATGTGTCAACTCTTCAATAAAGGGGTGAAGATATATCCGAGTTCCTGCCTCCTCCTCATTACATTCTTATGGCTGATTGCATCTATTATGAGCAGGTATTCAACTCGGTTCAGCATGGTTGCATTTTATTATTCTGAAACAACACAACCCTGTGAATGTTTGCTGTGATTTCTCATTATGAGCTGTTTATCATTGCAGTCGATCGTACCGCTGGTGGAGAGCTTGAAGCTGCTTTCAGGACCTGAAACGTGCATCATTTGCTGCTATGAACAACGTACTGAAGGCATCAATCCAGAGGTAGAAAGAAAGTTTTTTGAGGTAAGATATGAAAATATATGTTTTAATTTTACTTTTTAACTTCAGATATTTGTCTTTTGAATTGGCTGACTCATGTTTGTGTTTGTCCTTTAGTTGCTGCAGCAAAACTTTAGCTGTGAGAAGATCCCTTTGGACAAACAAGACCCAGAGTTCAGCAGTCCGGAAATCCACGTTTTGCACATTCGAAGAAAACAGAAGAAATAGATACCTTTGTTTTCTTAAAAATGTGTCCTCAAACTACCTAAACATTACGTTTTGTAGTAGAAAACTGAAAGTCTACGTGGACTGTATATAATAGTTTTTTGTATTTTTATATGATTATTTTTACAAGATAATTATAACATGAAATAAAAGTAAATCTGCTGAACAGTGACTGGAACAATTATTTATTTAAATAAGCTAATTCCATAATGATCAGTGTTTGGACACTCAGACATTATCCATTTTTAACACTAGGGGGCAACATATCCATAAATCAATGACTCCTTATGTGTCTGCTGAAAAAATGATTGTGATCTAGGCAGTTTAATTCATAACATTTCTGTTTTGTTGTATTTGCAGACTGTCAGGTGGGGGAGCTTCAGATAAAAGATGTTTGGAGCTCTTTTTCAAGCATAAAGTTGTGAAGCACGCCTCGTACACACACAGGCACACAAGAGGCTCCTCTCGGCCTTTCGTGCTGCTGTGTTTACACAGCTCGGTGTAATTGTGTAATGAGGTTGGGTGGCCTTAATACTCCGACCAAATAAAACTGAACAATGAAGCTGACAGGGCAAAGCTGGAAATAGTCGTTTAATTGTTTCAAATGCACATTAGGAAATAAAGAGTCTCGTTTAGGCCATGATCAGTTATGTTTGACCTTTTCTATGAAATGGCCAGCATCATTGCCTGTAGTCGCTCCCTGTAGCCCTTCACTGCCCTCGCATGTGTAGTATTAGCCTTCTGGTGAGGTCTCTTCTGGCGATGACCAGCTAATTAATTAGGAGTCCCAAATCCACGCCCCCCCTGTGGTTGAGACAGGTCCCAGAGTGGCTTATAGGAAGATTATAGAAGCAGAAATGGAGCTCTACTGCTGTGTCAATATTTACCTTTTATCGACTTTATCCCCTCCCTGAATGCAAGCTTGAAATAACTGAAACTCTTTTTTTTGGGTGGTGGGTGGTGGTGGTGGGTAATTAGGCCAAGACTACAGGAGCCTCGCTATAAACGAGGACAGCTAAAGTGAAATGCTTTGCAATGAAATGTTCATTCTGGTGACCATAACATGTTTTTAATGTCCCTGCTGCCTGCAACAAGACAGAATGGGGGCATTTTCTGCCAACAGATGGTGCTGTTAGGAGCAACTGTAGAGAAACCTGCAAAGAAAGCTCAGATCTTCAAGATTATCTGAGCACGCTCTAAACCTCTTATCTGTTTTGGATGGTATTTTGAAATCAAAGCAGTTGGTTTCTTGTGTGCACAAAGTTTTTGCACGGATCACTGATCCACGCGTGTCCTGTGAGACTCTGGCAGCCTCTGTAGCGTGCTTCTCTCTGCTCCATCACAGCCAAGTGCCACAGAGGATCCTTTGTGTGGCTGTCTTCATGCTGCCAGGAGCCAAGAGACACTGTTCCAGAGAGGAAGACTCGTTTTCTCGCTATCAGGGAGCGGCTCGAGAATAGACATCAAACTGGGGCTGCTTAAAAATAGAAAAGCAGCAAAATACGTGACTTCTGATTTTGCTGAGGTGCCCAACCATCCCCCGCCACACACACACACACACACACACACACAACCCTCTGCTATTTTTTACACCACAAGGCAAATTCTCAAAACTTTGTTTCACATAGACATAACAAAACTCAGCTTGTGATTTACATAACATTTCTGAAACGTGGCATAACAGGAGTAATGCTGCATCGTAAAAGTGAGCGTGTGCTGCAGGACATGTTGGACCATAATGCTGACTCCCCCCTGTATTCCTGTGTGCACATTTTCTCTGAGTCGTTACTTCTCAAAATAGTCAGATTGAGAATCATCAACCCACATCTACTGGCCTAATCCTGATGCACCAGGTGCATAGATCATCATCAGCGCTGTGTTCTGACTCTGGATGAACGACTGTCACCATTACCGTACGATGCATGACAATGGTTGCATATCTGAGTCAACTATAACAACACCTAATGGTGACTACGTTTTACGTGAGTTCTTCTTCTTCCTGCTCTTGGAGAGTACAGACGCTTTTTTCCTCCTCTCCTCCCTATCTTATCCCAAGGCTCTTTGTCTTTGGGTGGACAGCGCTTCTGCATTTTTTCTGGAAACTGGAAATTATTAAAAATGGACCTGGTCAGTTGGTCTCTAAACACGATTGACAAGATTTTTTCAATGATGAGAACGGGAGAAGGGGCTCCTGGATGCCCCTCTGGAACAGAGCCAGTTGGGCATATCATGGAATCCTGGAAACAGTGGAACCTGATCTGCCTCTCCCAACTGTCTGTAGAGGATTCTGAAGACGTCTGGATATTCGTTGAGTTGGTGTCAGGTTTCCTGCTTTTTGGCCTGAGTGGTTATCTGGCTTACCGGAAAATTAATGAGCTGTCGAGGAATATTGGGTCAATCCCGAAGCTCAGGGATGGATTACACCATGCTGTGAATGCACAAACTCATATAATTGTCGAGATGAGTCATAAACTTGGAATTCTGGCTGAGATTCAGACTCTGGCACAGAAGGTGGATTCGATCAAGGAGCGAGTTGACGGGTCAGCACGGATCGGGATAGATTAACTACGACATTATTGGATTTAGAGGGGTTGAGGACCAACGTAACTTTAAGACAGAGTGGAAATGATCTCTGTCTGGCCCCAAAACAAGTTCTTATCTGAATGTGGTGCCCTTGAGCCTGTGAGGCTGAAACGATTACTCCCCCTCAGAAGAAATGTGGAATGCTGCCGTCGCCATGGCAACTCTGTCTCCCTATCCCAGCCTGGGCGGGACTGCGACCGGTGAAGGCCGTTGAATCGTTCCAGGAGTCACTGTGCTCTCTGAACCCAACGACCTCCCTCCCCTGTCCAAACGGAGATGACGAGCGCTGCTTATCATGGCTGCATGCACTGATGTGAGGATAGTCCCCAACCCTACCTCCCCACCTAGTGGACACTTACGTTGTGTAATGTCTGAAGTCTGTTGCATTTCTGTCTGAGGTGTTTTTTGCATAGCAAAGCTGCCCTCCCTGTGGAGGGTAAATCTGAAGTGCCTTTGTTTTTCCTCCACCTGACTCAATCCTCATGTAAACCCCTCTGATCTCTATTAAGGTAGCGCAACTTGGGTTGCGAATGACCACAGTCACCAATTCTTGTCATGTGTCTATGCCTATGTATGTATTTCTGATCTCAGAATTGTGTGTACTGAAACTCTAATTTCCCTCTGGGATTAATAAAGTATCTTTGAATTTGAATTGAATTTGGCTGTGGTGGATATATTTAATCAGATTACATCAGAAACAGGCACATTTACTTTATTTCATCATTTTTGGTTAAAATTAAATAAATTGCAGTGATGCTTCTAGAAAAATTTCATATGGGGGCCAGTGAAAAGTTTGGGGGTGGCACAGCAAATTGGTCACTATTGTAACTGTCGATTCCTCACATTTGAGAAACACAAACATTTCATCAAAAATTTAAAAAGACTTATTGCCAACATCTGTCACAGAACAAAATAAGACTATCAATTTTATAGATTTCTAAAAAAAAAACACACATAATTCCAGTAAGATTAAATTCTGGATTGCAACTTTAAATAAACTATTTATTAAAATAGATTTGGTTTTTTTTTTGTATTTAACATTGAGGTATTGATTACAGAAGATGGATGCAGGTTTGTGTGAACATGACTGTTATTTTATAAGGATGGGTGGTGTACTCTGAGGGGACCACGGCCCCCCTGACCAGCCCCTTGGGGCACCACTGCTCCTTCCTCTGATACTGAAACTCACACCTGAATGAAAGATGGTTGAGGCTCACTTCTGATCCTCTTTAGTCTCTGTGTGTTGCAGATACATAAACACCGCTCATCACCACACACGGACAAACTGGTTTACACTCATACAGCTGTGTTAAACATCTGTAAATTCCCACGAAGGTCGGTGTGGGCATTCCCACATGATGAATTGTAACTAAAAAACTGGATATTTTAATTGTTTATGGTTGAACTTGTTGAAGTTAAGCGTGTCAGGTAGATGCACAGCTTTTCATGATAACTTTACGGTTTCCCTGGATTAGCAATTTCACCACAGCAAGCCTTCAGCTGGAGATATGACTGGAATGTGTTTTGGACCACTGCCCAGAGTACCTTGGACTCCAGGGCTGCACATTTTCGATCTTATGTGGCTTGCCTACCACAGCAGTTTGTATAAACCCTGCACTGAAACACCTGAAGTCAAAATAAGCTTGGGTCATGGCAGAGAAAAACAAAGACGCATCATGGCGATACTTATCACGACGCTCAACACCCATGACCTCAAACAGGAAACCAAACACGGCTTTATCCACTTCCGCACCTGTTTTAAACTCAGCTCTCCACGAGTTCAGGACTAATGCGCTTGAGGAGGCTGCAGAGGAATGACCGAGTTGACAGGGAGGGAGCAATTTCACAACCCAACAGGTCATTTAGTGCCCCTGAGGATAAGCAGTCATTGGACCAAAAGGTAACAAATGAAGTGTAAAGTAGGCGTTCCTTCCAGCAAAATCACCAGATAAATAAACTACCGTAATAATAGTGTTGGGCTTTGTAGAGTAAAAATGTCTGGGTTTGGCGAATTCTGCAGTGATGACCTGTAAGGGTGCGGCGGCTGAAGCGTAGGCCAGAATTAAGCCGGCAACCCCAGTCGGTTCAGTGTAATAATAGAAACCTGCAGAAGTTTGCAGAAGGAGCTCAGAGGAAACAGAGACAAATGAGTCAGACAAACCACACCCCTGAGAAGCATGATGACAGTTCAAGTTAGGTTTGGTAAGAGCGGAACACAGCCTCCTTAATGAGTCGCTGTTTTCTGAAGGTCTGCCAGTGGTCACCATAAAATAGGACTGCATCACATTAGGAAAACCTGCGATATGCAATAACAGTGATTGATACTGCGATGACGATATTAGGGAGGGGGGGGGGGGGGTTCGATTACCAACCCCTCTTCCTGATTTCATGTAGAATTAAGCAACTTCCAGGTCAGCCTCTGTTTTGAAACCAGCCACACTGCAGATAGGTCTGTTGTCATGGGAACAGGAAGACAATATCCGTACACACTTGCACAAACAAAAGTAAGAGTTCATCAACAGTTTAGCCTCTTTTACTACCAAACGAGATGGATGGGTCTATTTCTGAGCTTCCTGAAACCCCATTCCCAAACATTTCCTGAGGGATCTCATCTCTGTCTCCTTCCTTGTTGCTAATAAAGTTGTGTTGTTTTAATGAAGATTGAAAACAAGAGCTCCCTTTGCCACAGCACACTTGTTTTATTAATGGGACGTGACTGTTTAAAGTTTATTAGCTGTAAATATTTCCCACAGAAGCTGAGTTATTGTGGTTTTGTCACCTAATCAGTCTGACCAAAACCTTCGGAGTTTTATAGACCTGAAAGCTCCAAGTCCTCTATCGGTGTGCAGTACTTATCCTAACGTATAATTCTACTCGTGTGTTATCTTTCGTGTGCTACTGCTGCTATTCTACTGTACTTGAGCTGTTGCAATAACACAATTTCCCCATTGAGGCACAAATAAAAGGTATTATCTTATCTTAATGAATTGAAGCGGATTCAGAGAGATAAGTTCAGGACGTCACAACTTCCTGCTAGCATCGATATGGCTCAAAACCAACACGCAGCATTCAAATCCAGTCCCCATCAGCTGTTTTTCAGCGCTGCCCTTTCAGTCGACATGTGGCTTTGCTCCAAGACAAGGCCGAGGCTGGACTTCCTGTTTGGGACATTTTCCCCGTCCACTGGCAAAAGGAGCTGAGGCCAGCTTTTAGACTCAAAAGTTGACTAAAAACTGATTTATCAGCTACAAGCTAAAGTGGATTCATCTTTAATTCCTGATGAAATACAATAAAACAGACATTAATTATTTAAAATTGTTTTTTTAATAATACATTACAATGACATTGTTCTGTGTACAGTTCCCCAGTCAAAACAGGAGTAAGCGCTGCACCCCAGAGTGTCGACCTCACCAGATAACGGCTCTCCCTGACTGCACCGACAGATGGACTCTGATGTAGGTAGGGTTAATGTACTTGATGTACTCATGCTACAGATATAGGCTATCATATAATGTCCCAATCACTGAGACTAACCAACCGTGAGATCAGGTTGCGATTTCAGAGCTGAATGACATTCCTTTGGAAAGATTGAGCCAACTACCGTCATTTAAAAAATGCATTTCCACAAGCATGTTTCTGTTACTGGTGGCCTATTTGTTTAATACTCAGCACAATTAGATATCAAGACATGACACAAAATGGTCAATCAGTTAACTGGATAGCCCACTTAAAAAGTTCAGAGGGGGTAACAAATTGTGTTTTTTCTTTGATGACTAATGACTGAAAAGTCGTTTTTTTCTCTCCAGATTTCACCCCCTCCTGTTTTTTGCCACAGTACTGTTAACAAAACTTCCCAAGTCCTTCGAGTAGGCTACACGACATTAAAGCGCTGACTGTTGAAGAAAAATAAGTGATCCGACTTGAACAAAGACATAACAGCTTCAGAGAATAAAGATTAAAAACTTAGAATAATATAAACTATATAAAACAGGAAGAAAATAGGCAAATGTGGTGATCTCTATAGCTTTAAACCTTAGGACCAATTGTTTCAATATTCAAGCAAGCCCCATTAATAACTGTAATTCAGGCCTGCTGCAGAACACAAGCAAACTTTAAGCCAGCAAACCCAGCTAAAGATAAATTAGTCAAGGGATAAACAAAATAAATGAAGATTATCAATTTTTCTTAACCGTACACATTTTTTGAGAAATTGTTACTTTTTTTGGATGCTTTGACCTAAAACAGTCAGCACTCATTAAGATTTGTAATTTGAGGTTAGCCACGTCAGCCCCTCATACAGTCCATCGCCCGTGGTTGCACAGGAGGGCTGAACGTACCAATTCCGATCTCTGATGCGGGTCAAACCCAGCTTCTCTTGGATTTCATGTGGCTTCATGGCATCTGGAAGGTCTTGCTTATTGGCAAATATCAAGATGATGGCATCTCTCATCTCCCGGTCGTTAATGATGCGGTGAAGTTCTTGTCTCGCTTCGTCTATGCGATCCCTGTCTGCGCAATCCACTACAAAAATTAAGCCCTGGGTGCCTGTGTAGTAGTGTCGCCACAGCGGACGGATCTTGTCCTGGCCTCCGACATCCCAGACATTGAACTTGACGTTTTTGTAAGTGACTGTTTCCACATTGAAGCCAACTGTAGGGATTGTGGTCACAGACTGTCCCAGTTTCAGTTTGTAAAGGATTGTTGTTTTCCCAGCAGCATCCAGTCCAAGCATCAATATTCTCATCTCCTTGTTGCCAAAGATCTTTGAGAGCATTTTCCCCATTTTGAACTCTTGGGCATAAATATTTTGTTCCAAAGGGGAAAAAAAAAGTCTGATAATGTATTTGTAGGTGTTTGATTTCAGTATTGGTGAAAGCGTGAATAAAAAAAAGGGATATTTGGGCCAAAAATCAAAAACACATATTCAAACCTAAAAAGGATTACTATAGTTTTCCGGGAAGCCTGTCAGGATCCTTTTGAGCGCAAAAACATTAAAGTTCAGATGATCAAACCTCTGCGTGAGCCTACAAACAGCATGACACAGTGGGACTAGGAACTTGGCAGCAGCAGTTGCAGGCTAGTCATTGTCTTTAAAACTAAACAAAAATAAAGTTATTTGGGACAAACACTGGCCGTGGGACAGAGATACTCAGCGTGTGTTAAGAGGCCCTCCAAAAAAGCCGCGATGCTGAAGGTGATTTTCTCCTGGTGTTAGTTGTATGAGGCGGTTCTCCTCACCGGGTGCGCCCTTGTTCAGTACACTGCTGCCTGGGGAGAAACTGCCGCTATATGCGGCTTCTTCAAAGGAGGTCGCGACGGGCGGTCACACCGCGCTCAAAGGGACGATTACGGTAGAAACAAATCCCAGTGACTCGGTTAGAAAAGGCCCACTCAGGAAACTCTGGTCGCACTGAAAAGAGATTTAGGGGGAGGGTCAGACATGAAAAATTAGCCAGCTATCGCTCGTGGCTGTTAGTCAGCTAGCATTAGCTAAGCTAACTAGCGATAGCCAGTTAGCTGCAGTAAACTACTGAAATGAAAACATCAAAACACGCATCGGTGACACATTGCCCAGTATACAGTTGCATATTTCATACTGGTTTGTGCAAAGGTACGGTATTTACCCGTTTATTTCCCTCCAGACTCGATAAATTTACTCAGCTCTTGTCTTCCTTCTTTAACTGGAGCTGGCCGCACTCCTGCTACACCGGAAAGGTGTGGAACTGCATCAACAGCCACTTCCTCTCGTCTGCTCCATTAAACTGGTTCCGTCTTTTGGCAGGCCGTTGTATAACATAATCAAACTGCACACATTTTAACTTGCTTTCATCTTCACCTGTCAGCAAAACAAACAAATAAACAAATAAATAAATTCTCAACTGCGAGTGGGAAAATGTTATATAGCAATCAATTATTTTCTTTGCTTTGGCTTTCGTTAAACATTTATTGGTTAGACAGGAACCAAAACGTAATTTATTCTAGTTCAGTAATTAAAAAAATGTTTTCCACGAATTCACAGTCAATAGATGTTGGATGCCATCTTAGGTCGTTTGTATTATATTCATTAGCTCTCGAGCAAATTAAACCAAGAGCAACAATTGTGAGGCTATAATTAAATCAACTTACATTTCAGATATTTACAAATATACGTATTTTTTTATTTGCCCTTTATTGTCTAATTCAAATTGTATTAAAAATAAATGTAAAGAATTTATTATATGGTAGAAAAATGGTAGACAATTTGTTTTCTATTGCTAAATGTTTTAATTTGGAAAAGTTATATCTTCATGGAAAACTTCATGTATGGTAAGACAACTAGACAACTAGTTATTTCTTCCTCGTCTAATTCACATTTTTGATTGCAATAACAATATTACTCAAAATGAACATATTCTTAGGACAAAGTTTGTCATTACCTTCATTCCCACAGCTCAGTTCTCTTAACCTCAAAATCTAGACCAACCAAAGAAGCAGCAAAAATAATTTGATTCCAGGTTAGTATAGAAACACTCCATTGTAGCCTCAGCAGGTCTACCACTGGCCCGAACACTTTTGTATCTTGTCAATCACAACACTCTATCTTTGTTGTGCGGGCTTAGCGCCAGAGCTGTGACAAAGAAAAATTACAAAGATGGTGTTGGCTCTTGGACTGAACCTGGTTTTGTAATAATCTACTGAGGTTTTTATAAACACCTTTAAATCAAATGGAACAGATGTGTATTATCTACAGATTGAACTCCAAAACACAACACGAAAAATAATCTTGAATAAGCAAAATAATTGTTTTTATTCTAATAAAAAAAACGAATTATCACAAGAATAAAAAAAACACTAATTCAGACATGGATTCCTTTCACAAAAAATGGGAAAGACGCACTTGTTGTCCTATACAGCTGAAAACCTTACCCACATGAAACATTTTTGATGTATGCACATTGTTCACTTAGACCAGGAAACATTGATTCAAATTATCTGGAAGTATTAACCAATTTTACAATTGAAAGTTTAAAAAGCCATTTATACATTTGCGATTTTTTTCATCTGAAATTTATTTTGTAACAATTTTAATTGTAAAATCCCTAAAATAAGTTTACAGAACACAAGAAAGCTTGGACTATCAGGAATTTTGTCTTGGATAAATGTTAGAATGGCTTGCTACACTTGAACTCCAGCACCGAGCCACGCCTTCATTTGGTGACGTCAGAGAAAACGTGTCTCCTTCAAAAATTTTAAGGGCAAAACTTGAGGTGATTAGGATGCGCGTGTTTCAGGCGATGGTTTCAGGGGAAGGGTTAGAAATTAAAATATGACAACATTAATAGTCACACTTCTGGTGAAAGCCTCAACCCACGCAAGCTGCTTTGTGTATAAACGGGGAGACATTGTATGAGGCAGGGCGCTGAGAGCTCATCCAGACCACCGTATTCTCATCCCTTCAAGGAACAAACACCTCTTCAAGGCACCATGGCGGACTCCAACTGCGACTCCCCGAGCTCCCTGGGCCGAGCTCTGTCTCAAACTTCCCTTCAGCAGATCGAGTTTAATGATATTTCTCCGACAGCCACCCTCCAGAGACACCCGAGCCGAATGAGAAGGCTGTCAAAGTGCAGCTCCGTCGAGAACGGTGAGCTACTGACTTCACCTTACGCCGACGAGTCCCGAGTGCTGGTCATCAACACCGGGGGAACCATCGGGATGACGCTGCACGATAACGGTATGTTCAGCTAACGGTGCTATTTTAGTGCACTAGACCCTGGGGCGTTCAGGAAGCGTCCGGTGTTGCGTTCAGGTGCTTGTTCAGAACATGTCTCCTCTCAACAACACGAGGCTTGGATTAAGTTTTGCGTGACAGTCACGTAAAAATAGCTTGCGGATCAGCTTAACGCAACTGGTCATAACAGGGTTGGTGCGCCATGGTGTAGCACGCAGGAGCACGTTAAAAAATAAAATAATAGTGTAACTCTGAGCAGAAATAATTTAATATTTATTGAATAAAACTCTATTCATAAATAAGATTTCATGCATTAGTATGCATCACAAATTGCTACACATAGGGCAAACAAAATTAATGCAAACAAAATAAAAAGTTGCTCCTTGTATGGAGAGAGTCCATCTACTTCCGGTCAATTGGTATGCCAAAATCCCCCCAAAATGAATGGGAGTCTATGGGTCGATAATAGTTGAGTTATTTTCTGATCCGTTTGGTATGTGACGTGTGACTTTCAAATACATGTTCTGGTGGCAAAAGTAACTTTAGGTTTTTGTGTGAAAACACGTAAAGAACTCTTAATAATTGTCTCAAACAATACATCATCAAATCAGACAAGAAGAAAAATGTCAGTGAGTTTAGCGAGCTTCACATCCTTCTTCCAGAATGAAAGGAGGGACATTAAACATGGAGAAAACCACTTTAAATCTGGCCATGTGGACAGTACCAGCTGCACCGGGGGAGAAAAGATTCTGCTGTGATGTCATACATGTGACGTCTGATTTGTAGTTTAAATTAAGTATTTTTTACAAGCAAGCAAACCTCAAATTATGGGACAGACATAGTCGGAATACTTATTTATCATTTAAATTGAAGTACAACATATGTGTGATTCAGGGCATAAGGCCACAAAATAACCTTTATAGCTCCGCGCCGTTCGCCTACATTATTATTGTTTTTTACAGTCGGGACCCGTGAGCCGATCGGAAGGGGATGAGACTAAATCTCCTTATAGGTGAAACGTCATCCTTCAATGAATAACCAGATGTTGACCTGTGGAATTACACAACACCCGGGGATACAAAATAACATTCAAAGGTCCTGTAAGATTTAACCAGCTCACAATGATCTGTAAAGTGTTGGATTATCCAAGAATCAAGAAAATAGTTAATTTATTGTAGCGTATCATGAAATTAGGAGTGGTTAAACTTATTTATTTCGTACGTCTAAATGGAGCTCTTCCTCACAAATAGTAAAACAACATTTCTCCCTACAGGAATACTTTTCTAGACGCACATTAATGCACAGATATCTCACTCCAAAAATGTCTAAAAATTATTGCAGAAAATATGTAAATGTAACCTGAAAGACCTGCAAACATCTGTTTAAGGTGTACTACTTTAAAATATAGCTGCAAAGTCTTTCTGATTAGGTGCAAAAATACATAAATTAGGTGTTATAGATCCCTCAAACGCTGCTCATCTGCATCATCACGCGTTAAAAGGAAGGTACTCTGGTATTGGAGTGTGCATATTACTCCACCACCTCATTACATTTGCCACAGAGACTTGTACAGTTGCATATAAATAAACAAACCACTTTTTTAGGAAATGATTGTAGGTTGATCACATATTCATAAAAAAACAAATATCTGGATGTGTCGTGCAGGTAAGAGTCCTGATTTAAAATACATGTTTAACGATGTAATACCTTAGATTGACCTCTAGGGGTCAGTAGGAGGCTGATATTGTTGTGCTGCTGAGACAAAAGCAGATCTGTTGGTTATCACTATAAAGAACAAATTCTATATTTATTTTTGAACCCACAGTTCTTGCCCCAGAAGCCAACGCTCTGGTGCAACGCCTACGCAAGCTGCCCATCCTCCACGATGACCTCTACGCCCAGCAGACCCGCTTGCACGAGTACTACGGACACGAGACCCTGGTTCTGCCGTAAGTGCTTCCAGGCGTCCCGTCGTCACTCTGAAATGTTGTTCTAAAAAAAAATTAGCTCTCTGGATTTGACATAAAGTTACGTTTTTATTTACTTATGTGAGGGTGATGGTTTTATCCAGATCCTAACTCTTGATCATGGATGATTGAACTGAAACCGCTTTGATGAGTCTCAGCAGCACTTGTGTCTTTAACAGAAAGTCGACGCCCCATCACGAGCTCCAGTTTCCCCGGTGCCGTTCGAACTGGTAGCATGTCGTGTGCTGCGCTTTTCTTCTGCTGCATGTTTGCGTCTGCGGCGCCCTCTTTTCCAGTTGTCAGGGTGTGCTCGGCTCGCCAGAGAGGAAGTGCATGCCGAGTGGCCTTTTGGCAGTTAGACAAACTGTTGAATGGAATGATTTTGTGTCCTTTACTCCCCGGCGTGTGCTCATGTGTGCTGTTTACTCAGCAGGCCCGCTGCTTTGATGCGTGAGATAATTACCCAGACTGAGATAATCTGACGTTACTCTTTTCAGTTTGGGGAAAAAACGAGGATAACGGCATGAGCTGCTGAACAGGAACTGGACTCTTTAACTCAACATTTTTTATTTATTACACTAAACACAGAATGTTCTACCTGCTGCTGTGACGGAGGAACCTCTTCATTTTCTGGTTTGAAACCTTTCATTCCAAACCTTCCTGCTCATTTTTTTCTTTTCTATATAAACTTAAGCAGGATTATTAGCATATTTGCTGATTTATTAAAAAGCTTTATTCGATATTCTCTCCAAGTTCAATCTTATTCACACCTATATTTAAACTTTTAGCCATCCCAGCTGTATGTAGTATTGTTCCACCTTAGGTCACGTGGTCAGACTGATGAATAATTCTTGATTTAAATAGTTCTTGAGCTCCAGGGTTAGCAGTAGCACATGTCACAAGGTTGTGATTGGACTAGAGGACCCCTCTGGAAGTCCTGCTCCTTCCAGCTCCATGATAGGAGAGGGTCCCACCCTGCTTCCTTCAAAGAGATGAAAGGAAAATCTCCTCATCTCTGCCGAGTCTGAGTTTAATCCAATTTAAAAGCGAAAGGAAGACTTTCTTCTCTGATTAACGCTGATGGAAACCCTCGGGTCTTGTCTTTATTCTGATGTTCCTGTCATCGCGGCTCGGCCCTAAAGTTCCAGGGATGTGCTACGAAGTAAAGGACCAGATTCTAGAATGCCTGCATGACGCCACATCTGAATAATTTTTTTTTTACGTGTGTAAAAACTGGTTTTGGCAGCTTGTTGAGACAAAAGGCCCGTCTCAAGACACTTTGTTTTACCTCACAGACTCATTTTTTTTATCTCGCGTCTCATTTTTTAACCAGAAAATGTTCTAATTTCTCTTTAATTATAGATAACTGTCAAAATACTTTGTTTTACTTCATGAAAGCAGGTTTCTAATAACCATTTAACACTAATGATTGGAACTGATTAACATGTTGAGTGAATGCATCTGCACAAACTAACCCCTATTTAAAAAATATATAGTCTACTTAAAGTGACAGTGTGTATTTTTCCTGGCGATAGGGGCAGTAGATCCCCAAATTGTTGAACGCAAACTGTATTTTTGTGTTTGTGTAAGACCTTACCAACGGATGCCCATTAGGGTCAAAAAACCCTGGGGAGTGCAAACTTTAGCAAAACAACAAGCACATCAGACTTCCTTTCATCACTGGCAACGAGTGAAGAGTTAAATGAGTAAAACAACATTTAAAAATGACGAAAGTTTTGTAACCATTTCTTACAAATAAGTAAATGCATTTTGTCCTCATGGGCTCCTGTAGAAGGAAACATGGCGTCTAATATGGCGTCGCCCAGAGACTTAGACCTGCTCCCATGTATTTTAGACCTGATTTTTATGGTCATGTGTTACAAAGCCACCAATACTTTTCAACAACTGGGCATCATTTAATTCATTTTCAACAACGTTTTGATGGATTTTTCCAGAAATTAATGGTAAAAACTACACATTGTCTCTTTAAACAATTAGACTTTTGTAAATATGACGTTTTGCATGTGTTTTCCAGACTCAGTAAACTGAACACGAGAATCATCTACACCATTCAGGAGTACAGTCCTTTACTGGATTCTTCCAATATGACCACAGACGACTGGGGCCGATTCGGTAAAGACATCGAGGTACTCATGTCGTTTTTAGCTCTTTAAATGGGACAAATCATACAAAGCTCACCTTTTATGTCTTTTTGTGCTGCTGTGTGGGTAACAACTGCCTCTATAAACACTCCAAACATGAATAAAAGCCACACATCTGTTTTCTGTCCGTGTTTGGTTTTAGGAGTTATGTGTCTAAAACAAGTCATTTCAGAAAATTCCCGTTTGTGACATCACAAACGGGGAAATTAAAATAGAACCTCCTCTCATGTGCAAAAGCAAGTTGCTGCGGAGGAGCAGCAGCTCTAATACGAACCCTCCCAGATGTTGTAGCTTCTCAGCTTATAGTAGCCTGAGTAGGGCATGGGTGGGTGTGGCCAGCTCCAGCATGTTTTTTTAAAGTGACAGAGCCCTGAAAAGGCTCATTATGGAAGGTACTGAAACCGTCAAGAATAAAACTGCTGATATCTCTTCATTTGAGAGGGAAAGGACTTCATAAACGTGCTGTGTATCAACCATAGAACCATTCTGTCCTCTTTTAAACAGCAGACATGAAGCTTATTGATGGCAGCTCACGTTAAAATGATCGGTATGGTTTTTTTTTCATCTGATTCCAGAAAAACTATGAAAACTACGATGGTTTTGTGATCCTTCACGGCACCGACACCATGGCGTACACAGCCTCCGCTTTGTCCTTCATGTGTGAGAATCTGGGAAAGCCGATCATTCTCACCGGCTCCCAGGTAGGAGCTGCGCTTTTCGCCGGGGATCTAACCCGCTTCACATGGCAGAACTTTAAGGGGGAATGTTGTGTGTCAAGGTGCCGATCTACGAGCTGAGGAATGATGGCAGAGACAACCTGCTGGGGGCGCTGCTGATTGCTGGACAGTTTGTCATTCCTGAGGTAAAATAAAAGACTCCCAGCAAGGAATCATCGCCTTTTTTTTGTCTTTGGCTTTTGAAATATTGAAATGACTAGAAATGAGTTTAAATGAGCTGATGTTTGGAGGCGATACGACCTGTTGAGCAGGGACGGGTGTGGAACGGTCCAATGACCGCAGAGTGTTTCGCAACTCCAAACGCCAGCTAACAGAACAGGAATGACTCTCAGCACGGCCTGTTTAGTCAGTTACGTCATTAGGAGCAGGGCCGCTCAACCAGACCTCAGATCAGCTTTATTAATTAAAATAACCTGATTTTAAATGGATTCTGCTCATAAAAGATGGGCGCCGTTTACACGAATCAGCTGTTTATGTTTTGGGGGCAATTGTTTGATGAAATCTTTGCTCCTAAGTCTACACAAGACCAAATAAAACCTCTCTGTGATTTCAGGTGTGCTTGTATTTCTACAACAAGCTCTACAGAGGAAACCGCGTCACCAAGGTGGATGCTGGGAGCTTTAACGCCTTCTCCTCTCCCAACTTGGCTCCACTGGCCACCGCTGAAGTGGACATCAAGAGTTAGTCACAGACGAAACACTTCAGCTGATATTTGAGGGTTTTTTTGTGTCTGAAATGTGTGTTTGTCATTTCTCTGTAGTTAACTGGGATACGGTGTGGAGAGCAAACACCACCGCCAAGTTTCAGGTCCGAACCGAGCTGAACCGTAACGTGGGTCTGCTCCGGCTCTTCCCGGGAATCACTGCTTCTACTGTAAGATTCCATTTCTGTCGTGTCCTGGAAGCACTTTTTTACTTTTATTAGTTATTAGTAAAAAAAAAAAAAAACGATTTTCGTTTCAAGAAAATAAAGTTTAAACCCTTTTTACGCCTCGAGGAGCAACTGGGCAGGAATGTTGGAACAACTCAACTCAATTTTATTTATAAATCGCGCCTTACAGGCAAAAAGATGCCACCAAGGCGCTACACTGATCAAATAAAAACATAAAACATTAAGTCCAGAAAATAAAACCATTGTATCACACGATACAGATAAAAAATACAATGAGTAAAATCGCTATAAGTAAAACAATAAAACTAGTTAGAAAGGTCATAAAAATATGTTTTTAGCCTTGCCTTAAAAACCGCAACAGAGGTGGAGGCCCTTATGCTCAGAGGAAGCTTGTTCCAAAGCTTAGGACCTGCCACAGCAAAGGCCCTATCACCACGCGTCTTTAGACGTGTTCTTGGGACCGAGAGGAGCATGAGGTTCTCCGAGCGGAGTGACCGTGAAGGGGTGTATGGTTGAAGTAGTGACACCAAGTAAGGAGGGGCCAAACCATTTAACGTTTTAAAAACTAGTAAAAGTATTTTAAAATGAATCCTAACATCAACGGGCAGCCAGTGAAGCGCAGCCAGGACAGGAATAATGTGGTCAAACTTGCGCCTGCCCTCTAAAGATCTGGCAGCAGCATTCTGGACCATTTGCAACCTGGCTATTGAGCCCTTGCTCACACCGAATAGAACAGAGTTGCAGTAGTCCAATCACACCGTAATAAAAGCATGGACTACCGTCTCAAGATCATGACGTGACAAAAACGGTTTGATCAAACAGTTTGTTTTTCTGTTAAACTGTAATGAAATGTACCCGGCTTGCTGGTTCCTTCCTGCTATGGAAGCTGCTGCTAAAGCTCTAGCCGGAGAACGATGAGATGACGTTATGGAGTGTGTCGAATCACCCCGTAAAAGGGAAGGCCGGGCTCAGATACTGTAGCAAAGGCTGCTGGGAGGTTTTACTTTACTGCCCCAATCTGCTCCCGCCGCCCGGCTCTGCCGTCACGACTTTCCTACGGCCTTTACGAGGCGCGGCTGTGACGTTGGAGATTTGTGTCCCACCTTTCTAATTACACCCCAAATACTGACTTAACCTGGCTGGAACTTTAAATGTCACCTTCCCCTTGTAGCTTAGCTCGCTAAGTGGCTTTATGCTAGCTAATGGCTTCAGATTAATAGCTCTCTGCTGCTCTGGTTATATTCTGTGGTTAATGATGCGGTATGGGGGGGGGGTAAGATACTGGTCTCTGAGATGGCACCAGATGGGCAGAAATGAATAGGAGTAGAAAGCCCTGCAGTAAAAATAATACAGGATACTAATGTCTGTTTGTTTTTTACGTGTGCATACATTTGAGCTGTTTTGAACCCCTCCAGGTCAGGGCTTTCCTGCAGCCGCCCATGCAGGGCGTTGTCCTGGAGACCTACGGGAGCGGCAACGGCCCGGATAACCGTCCGGATTTGTTGGATGAGCTGAAGGCGGCTACGGATGCTGGTGTCATCATTATGAACTGCACTCAGTGTCTGAGGGGGACCGTCTCTGCGTCCTACGCCACCGGCATGGTCGGGGACGCGTCTCATCTTCAGTCAGATGATGTTGGAGAAGGAGTCTGATTGTGTTTTATTTTTCAGGTGTTGATGGATGCAGGTCTGATAGCAGGTGGTGACATGACTCCTGAGGCTGCTCTGTCGAAGCTGTCCTACGTTTTAGCCAAGAGCGAACTCGGTCTGGATGCTAAGAAAAAGGTTTTAATCACTTGAGACTGTTTTCTGTTTAATAACGAGCCGATCAGAGATGTTTAGCCGAGGATTCGTTTGCGTCCAGATGATGGCTGAGAACCTGCGGGGAGAAATGAGCGCCAACCTGGAAGGAGCCAAGCTGAGTCTGAGCGACAGCCGGTTCATCCAGGTCATCGCCAAGTCCCTGAGCATCAGCTGCAAGGAGGTGAGCGCACCGTGCTTCAAACTGGATTTCCAACAAACCAGTTGCTGTTTTTTCTTTCCAGTGATTGATGACCAAACGGTAAACGTACAAGTTCAGACTTTTCTTTTTGCTTTTGTAGTCCTCAGTGTTGCTCAGTTTATCTTCATGTGTGGAGTAAACTTACCCGAGCTGCTACAGGTGACCGATTCAGGGATGATTCACTCTGACCAGTCCCAGCTCGCTTCCAACCACTAAAGGGAAAACAATAGAACAAGCAGGGTCAGGTTAAGCTAACTGTTGCAGGACAAAACTTCAGAAAAAGGTTTTGAGACGTTTCAGCCAGATCGCATATTTGACTTGTGAAATTCTGCGGTTTTTTAAAGGAGCTGGAAGCCATTCGGGATGTTCTGACTCCTCCGCTGGCCTGTGCTGCCGCCAAGATCGGAGACATCGATGCCTTGGAAGCTCTGAAGGAAATGGTATGCATCCCTGTCATGGTCATGAATACAGAAGAGATGTAAAATGTTAGCCTTGAAAGGTTGATGACACTTTAGCCAGCAGTCAGCCTGTTGGTTTGTGAGGTCACCGTAGGTCGTTGAACCAATAATCCGCCCTGAAATCTCAGGGTCTTTCTGTTTTTGAGGCAAACCAAACAGCTCCTCAGCTGGAATAAACTCACTGTTTTGTTTGTTTTAGATAATAAAATGCTGATTTCTGGGGTGTTTTCTCCATTTTTAGTTTCTAATATTTAATATTTTACATTTAGAGGCATTATTAACCACCCAGATGAGATAATAAATGATGCTTTTTAGGATGTTTTAACTTTGTGTGTGTTACAGGGCAGTAACTTGTGTCTGGGTGACTTTGATGGACGCACACCTCTACACGTCGCTGCATGTGAGGGCCACTTCAGAGCAGTCGAGTACCTGCTGGGTCACGGAGCTTCGGTCCACGCTAAGGATCGCTACGGCGACACGCCTCTATGCAACGCTGTGCGCTTCCGGTGAGATACAAAAGAGCTGCAGGTCGTTTAAAGTGATCTTGTGGTTTATGAAGCTGCAGACATTCAGAATCCTCATCTTGGCTATTAGCAGAACTTATTGTTTCACAGACGTCTGGGTGAAAATATGCCGCTAATAGCTGCAACAGAACAGATTTCATTAAACGAGCGGCTGGGAGGCAGGAAATTCAGCTCTGCTCAGATGAAGAAGAGGGAGAATCGGCTGCATCGGGGTAGACTGAAACCACCATGATGTTTAAAGGGCAGCAGTAATTACAAACTAATCAGGTTAATTGTGATCTGACAGGTTTAGACGGTGTTTAGTCGACGACTCGGCGGGGAATCGCCGCTTTTAAAGTTTCTGTCATGCTGCGATGAGCCTATGGGGGAGGGGTGGGGGCAGGAATGTGTCACGGCTGTACCAAGTGGCTGTTGTCTCACTTTAACGGTTGGCACTGCAAGTGTGGACTTGTTTCCTTTGTGATGGTGGAGCGATGCTTCGGAACATGAACACCTGCAGATCCAGAACTCCTCCCGTGGAATCCCACACGGCGCGCTCCGACACCACCTTTGATTCCTTCGTTAGGATTGAACCAAGAGTCCGGCTAGAACCGAGTTCTGGACCTCTGATGTCACCAAACATTTTTAACCCCAACAGCACCACATCCTTATAAGGAGCGGCAGGAAGACGTGGAAAGAAAACAATTAAGAGGAGTGTCTTCTGAACCAGTCCTACCAGTTAGCTCCCAGTTTCTCAGGCGGAAGACACTCACTCTTTAGTCCTCTGCAGTTCCTCTGTGTCCTTTCAGTAGTTTCTAGGAATGTTGCTTTACATACTATAAACAATAACTGGCCCTAAAGCGCAGATGCAAGGATTTATTTTATTTGTAATTGCGCTGCTTCATGAACAGCTTTAGATGTGTGGTTGAACCTGAATATCCTGTCATTGTGGAGGACGAGGAAACACACTGGGACTTGTCAGATAACAAGGTCTAAGTCAGAGAAAGTCAAAATAAAATGAAGGTTTAATTTTGAATAAAATCTACATTTTCAGAAACAGGATTTAAATGTCTGGATGTAACAGGTATCTGAATCCTACATTCAAGGGAAACGTAGTTGGAAAGGGTTTGAGTATTTAAAGATGTGAGAAGGACTAAAAAAAACCAGTCAGGTTACGTTTAAGGGTTAAACACGAGGCAATGAGTGAGCTGCAATGTTAATAGTCAGAGGTGTAGTGGTCATAAAAATCAGATGGCTCCAAGGTTTCATTTCAAATCTGAGTTTCTGTGAAAGCTCTGTTGGTCTAGATCAGTGGTTCCCAAACACGTGACCCCAGACTTCTCTGATTTGATAAAAGAAATGTGCTTGAATCCATTTATGACATTTTAGTTGTGTTTTTGTCACAATGATGCTACAAATACAGCTTCAGCAATTGTTTTTTTAATTTTGTTTCTGGAAGTCGTCTCCAGACCCCCTGTGTACTTTGTGGTGACCCAAATTGGGGTTGTGACCCTTACGTTGGGGACCACTGGTCTAGATGACTCAACATGATGCTAATCTTTTAAAATTTTCAAGATGGAGTTGAAACATTGTTTTAGTACGAAACTAAAAAGTTGAAAGCAGAGGTTTGGTCATGAAGGAGTTTTGGAGCATCAGCTAAACACGGAGGTGGGAGGGTAATGGTATGGAGTTGTGCTAAAGCGCTGCTGCTCCTAGATTAAATCTAAGAAATCTCACAGAAGAAGAATGTTCTGAGATGATGATGCTCGAAAACAAACTGTCAACAGCAACACATGTCCTGGAGGAAAAGAAAATACCTTAAAGTACGACATGAAGTGGTATGCTGTCAGACTTGAAGTGAAGAAAAGATCTTTTAGACATTTTAAACACGTTTAGCCCAAAATAAAGGATTTGAAGCACCGAGGCTTAAGATTAGAGATGTTGGTGTTTTGGTGCTAAGATGATCATCGGTGCTCTGACTTCAGCTCAGGTAAACTTCCACGTCATTTCTGTTTTAAAACCCCTTTTTTTTCTTTTTTTTTTACAAATTTAGACAAAAAGATGTGGTGAAGCTGCTGAGGAAGACCGGTGCTCACTTCTCCAGGGACCAGATGGAGGAAGCAGGAACTGAACTGTGCAGGTCAGACGAACAAAGAAACGCCTCTTTACCCTAAGCACAGAGTCTGAACCATCCACACTGACCCGTCCCGCATAGCGAAGACAACACAGGTCCGGCCAGTTCTCCCAACTGTTAAACAAACTGTAGGAATGCTCCCCAGCAGCATAGCTCTGGATCTGATCAGTACCCGACACCCACTTGCCCCTGCTTTCCATCCTCAAGAGACACCCACGAGGTTTTGGCGAGACAGTTCTGAGTTGTGTTTGTGAAGATGAAGTAAAACACACCTTTATATCATGCAATCTGTTCTTCTGGTTCCATGTTTCCTTCATCCAGAGTCTGATCCAAGCTCGTTTAAATGTATGAATGTGGTTTTTGTTTGTTAGCCTGGCAGCCAGCGGGGACATCGAGGGCCTGGAGATCTGGAGCCTCGCCGGAGCAGATCTGAGTAAACCAGGCTATGACGGGAAGACGGCGATACAAGTGGTGCGGTTTCAGGAAGATTTCATCTTCAACACCACCGCTCAGTTCCCAAAATCACACCTCTGATTCTTTCTGTGTCCCAGGCCGAAGCTGCGGGAAGAAATCCGGTTGTGGCTTTTTTGGTGAAACTGAAGCGCAGTAAATCCATGGTAATGAGTCTCCCGCCCGTTTAGACCGGGCTTCATTCTGTCTCTTAATTATCTGTCTCGTTCACTTTCAGACAGGTTTTGGTGAATTTAGTGAGTGTGATGAATATGGTGATGAGGAGGTAAATGAGTCCCCTGAGCATGAGCTTTACTTTGGGAATGTTGTCCTCCATCCTCTCCAAAAGACAGAAACTCTAAACTCCCTAAAAAAGTGGGTTTTATTACTGAAACGTATTTAAAATGGTTATTTGGACATTAAAATGGCAAAAAGACCAACTAACCGTTATTTAAAACAGCAGTTAGGATGGATTCAGCAGCGTTATGCACCTGGAGTTTGCTGTGCTTCTTTTCATGTGTTCTGGTGGATTTTTATGTATTAGTCCCTCAATCTGCCTCTTGTTCATAAACTCGACCCCTGATGAGTTTTAAATTCAAATCACTGCTTCGTTTTACAGCCCAGAAATGAAATTAACAAGAAAAACTTCAGGCAGTGATGTTATTCTTCATGTGACTCAGATTCTGCTTGAATGTGATTTCACAGTTTCTGATGACTCATCTGTCAGTTTTAAACCAATCTAATCGTTTAAAATGAACGTGAGTGGGAAATGGAGCAGGACTAGCCGAACGCACACCAGACTAACGTGCATGTGTGTGACTGCGTGTGTGTGTGAACGCCACCTTTCCCAGTGTTGCCTGATAACCTGTTGTTTGTTTTTTCTAAAGCAGATGCTGGACTTCAGCGCCTTCCCGATGTGAGCCACCCCGTCATGCAGAAACCCGTCCCACAAAGCCGTCCTCCACACACACACACACACACACATGCGTCCAGCATCATTTTTACTTCAACCTGTTTTAAAATCTGCACAAATGCTTTTAAAATCAACACTTTTTTTTCCTTCCAAACAGGTTTTTATCATGTGTTTTTTCTGCTTAAGTTGGACATGAACCTTGTGTATATGTGTATATAAGTGTGTGTGTGTGTGTTTGCAGAAAAATATGTCAGCGTTGATTTTTTTGAATCAAATGTTCAGATTATTTCGTTTGAACAGCAAATGAACAATCAGGAAGTTTTGACACTAAGAACACATTTGGACTGAAAACTGCTGCTTTTCTGTTTTTAGAGGAAAATGAGAACGTTGTTTAAGACGACGGTGTATATTCACAGATTTTATTTTTGTGAGACTGTATTAAAGTATTTTTTTCACGAGTGTAATCCACCTGAACCGAAAACATCAGAATACGGCCGATGAAGCTGAGGTCTAACCCCCACCCCCCCACGTTACCTCTGCGACTCATCCAGCCTGTTTCTTGTTCGGATCGTCGAACTGGAAGCGTCGCATAACTTGCACTTTGAAACAGAAAGGGGAAGTCCAGACTAT